CGCAAGAATAACGCGAGCTGGGCCATGTTCAATCGTGTCAGTATTCTTGTCGTTGCCGGGCCTTTTGCCGCGGCAAAAGTGCTCTTGCCTGGGCAATTGCCGCGGCAAGAGCACTTTGCCGCGGCAAAAGTGCTCTTGTCGTTGCCGGGCTTTTTGCCGCGGCAGTGCTCTTGCCTCGGCAAATTTCCATTTCCGCGGCAATTGCCCAGGCAAGAGCACTTTTGCCGCGGCAAAAGGCCCGGCAACGACAAGAATACTGACACGATTGAACATGGCCCAGCTAGTTATTCTTGCGCGGCAAATGTCCCGGATTTTTCGGCCCAGGTTTTGCCGGGCAATTGCCGCGGCAGTTTAATTTTGCCGCGGCAAAACGGAAATGCCTCGGCAAAATCGACGTTTGAATACTGACACGAATACCACCCCATAAGGCAAGAGCACTTTTGCCGCGGAAAAAGGCCCGGCAACGACAAGAATACTGACACGATTGAACATGGCCCAGCTAGTTATTCTTGCCGCGGCAAATGTCCCGGATTTTTCGGCCCAGGTTTTGCCGGGGCAATTGCCGCGGCAGTTTAATTTTGCCGCGGCAAAACGGAAATGCCTTGGCAAAATCGACGTTTGAATACTGACACGAATACCACCCCATACGAGCGCAGCGAGGGCACTACGCGGGTGGCTCGAGGGTTCATTGAAATCCGGTATATCCCGAGTATACGGAGTGCATAACATGTTTAGTGCAGAGCAAATCAGCTCCGTATACGCGCACTGCCCGCGTTTCCAAGCACAGGGAATTTGAAAGATGCGAGAAAGAGACGAGAGCGCAAGACCGTCATCTTGTGCGGGACTATTGAACGCCGAACGCTAGGATACGCTGCTCCGCCGCTCTAGCTACTCCCCCTGCGGGACTGTCCTCCGCCACTCATCCGAAGAAACGCGACAGGAGACCTGCGCGAACCATCACAATCAGAGAGAGGCGACAGTGGAGAATTCAGGCGCTGTGCGGGCTGCTATACCGAAGGCGTTCGCCGTAGACTTAGTAGCTTTGTCGCGCGCACTCGCTCGCGGAGCCCCACCCCCTTATTTGCGTGCGGTGGTTTGTGGGCGGTCGTGAGCTGCCTGCCTGGCTATCTAGTATGTACATGGCAAGGAGGGAGATGGGCTCAAAACAGACACAGAAAACTGTCTTGTGGAAAAAGAAAATCAAGATATCAGTTATTTTGATCAACATTTTGTACAGATCATGTTTTGCGGGATACATTTCCTACATGAAATGCTGTTGAACTTGTTGAAAATCAACAGAAAAAACAAGGTTTCATATCATGTTTTCATGTTACTTTTGTTAGCTCACGAGGTTCATATGAGAAATCAGGAACCTCGTACTAACAAATCTGATTGGTCAATTCGAATCAGCTATGCACTAATTATTGCTTATCTAACTCTATAATGAAAGGCTGTTAACTATTAGTTTCCTCATATGCAGACCTGTACACTCTGTGTTGGTAAGACAAGTAAAGTCAGTGCATTCTCTACCCCAGCGTATAATGACATACCTCAAGGTAAGCGGCATCTTCCTCAGTCACAGGTCCACTGTGAGGTAAAGAGCCACCCTGTTGACTGATCGATATGTCAGAATGTTGCACTGGCCCGTATTCATTTGGGTCGGCCAGATTTCCGATGGGAGGAATTGGTTCATCAGATTGGGTCAGCCTGTCGTAATGCGGGTTGACCCAGACCTGCGGGCCATCTTGGTCGTCAGTAGGGTTGTAGAGAGGGTTTGATTTCATGTTTGCGGGAGGAGGGTTTGGAACAGGGGAGTGGGGACCGGCGGGGTAGTGTGGAGTCCCCATACTAATCTCCTCGTATGGGTCACTGGGAAGAGAAGAAGAGAGAGAGAGGGTGAGGGTTAAACTTACTCAAGGAAACAATAAAGTTCATAGTTTAATTATGGAACGAAGTTTTAGTGAGTGAAGCGAGCAGTTGCATTTTTCGCATGTGTATTACGCGTCGCGTCATGCAGTGCCGGTTTTACTTTACAACCAGACAGACGACTAGGCAGGCTTGCTTCTCTCACCTATACTTCATTGTGTGCACATATTGCGTGCACATGAGTCTCATTATAATTAGGGCTGAATATGATATGTATGATTATGTAAGTATGACCACTTACTACTCGTCATGTTTGGTCTTGAGTGATGTAAGGACGTCGTCCATGGAGACTTGTTTCACCACACCCCCTGACTGAGGGGGCATGGCCACATCCTCTGGCATTATCACCTGAAGCCACACCCACTAATTAGAGGGGTCGCCTCAACTAGTGTCAGAACCTCACCTTTGGCTGTGAGGAGAGGACCTGTCCCTGTTTGGTTGTCATGGCAAACTTGCCTCCTGTGGTCTCTATGTTTGGGGCTATTCCAGGCACTGGGCCACTGACACTGTAAGAGGGGGGATAAGAGGAGGGAGAGAGGTAAGGGGAATAGGGCTCTATAAGGACACCTCTCTAATACAACAAGTATATAACATTTTGTTTCCCCGAGAACAGAGCATTAGTAGTGGAAAACTTTCACGTGAGCCACAGATTTTCCAGCGTTTGAGGTTCCCGGTTTCTTTCAGATTTTTTAGAAATCCATGTGACCTAATTGCACCAAAATTTCCTCTCTCAAAAGTCTCCCAGTACACAGTCCTCACACTCTGCCTTTTCTCTTCCTCTGTTGACCAAACAGGTCGGCGGCTTCTTCAGTGAGAGGTGAGTGTTTCCCGGCCCGAGACCTGAGGTAGCAGCAGCGGTAGCAGAGACAGAGGCTGACGAGGAGGCAGAGGAGGAGGAGGAGGCTGGCTGCCGGGACTCCTATCGCCAGGACCAGCAGCAGGGGGAATGCTGGGAGAGAAAGTGTGTGCATGCATGGAAGGGGAAGAAAAAAGGGGGAGAATGAAACTATGAAGAACAAATTAAAAAAAGGTGAGAGAAGAAGGAAGATAATCATAAAAGAGAGGAAGGAAAGATGAAGTGATGAGGTAAACGGCGAGAATGAAAGGAGAGAGTTTGTCTTCTCACGCTCCAGTGTCACTATGGAGACCAGGGTACTGTTTGGCCCCGCCCCCACGCTGGTGGCTGCTCTCATCTTCACCAGGTATCTCTTCCCTCCTGCCAGTCCTCCCAGTCTAGTGGAGTGCCCGCTGGCCTCGGGGTCTGACGGAGTATACTCTGCCACAGAGAACACCCGAGGAGAGGCCAAGGTAGTGTTGGTCTCCTCCTCCTCCTCCTCCTCGAGGTAGAAGATGTCGTATCGGATGATGACTCCATTTCTGTCTGCCTCGGGAGGTGGCTGTAGGGAGATGAGGTTGCGTCGTATTACGTAACATTGTGAGACTGACATTGAGCCAATTCACATGAGGTAATGTCGGTTTGCCAATGTAAACTAAAACACAGTGTTGTGTGGCCATACGTACCAGCCATGAGATCTTGAGAGCTTCAACCTCTCCATCCAGTGATACATTCCGAGGAGCACCGGTCGGAACTGAGAGTGTGACAGAGAAAAGGGAACACAAACTTAAATGACAGTCAAGAGTGTACCAATTTTACGAATTTTTATGCTTGTGATGTCTTGTATAGTTTTTTGTTTGTTTGGCGTACCATCTTCCTCAGTGGTTGCTGTCACGGTAACAACTACACCCTGAACATCACCATAGTTACCAAACACACTGAACTGGTACTGCGAGGCTTCCTCGAGCTCCGTGAGAAGTACAGAGGTCACCGACATGTCCAACACTAAGGTTTCTCTGCGTGGAGATCCGGAGACTGTGTACTGAAGGTGGTAGGAGGAGAGGGTTGGAGTTAGGTAAGAGGGAGGGTGGGTCCAGGACAGGGAGATGGCCGTGGAGTTCAGGACTACTGCTGTGAGGTTCGTTACTGGGGCTCCTGCAGAGAGATGGTAGGAGACGATGAACAGAAGAAAAGAGCAGTGAAGAAAAAGGCGTAGGGTCTGTGTAAACCCCATTTTTCTGCGAGTTATAAATTTTTCAGACTGTTGTTCGGGTAGCAAATGAGTTTACTTATGCAAATTGGTAACTTGTAGGCCACATAAGTAATGGTAGGTGGTAGCAGCATCACTGCAGCTCACCTCCCACCAGAACCTCCACTACTGCAGTTGCCACACCCACAAGGTTGGTTGCCGTGCAACGGTAATTGGCCGTGTCGGTTACAGTCACTGTGTCAATGGTCAGATCTCCAGTCTCAGAGTCAAACATGTAGTGACTCCCTGCACAAGACATGGTGAATACTATCAGCAAGCCAAATAGATGGAGAAATGACTAAGATAATATTGTGAGAGTGGGGACATAAAACAGCAAAACAGCACACCCACCCTTCAAGAAACCACCTCCAAAATGTCACAACTCAACAACTCTTGCATGCACTATGCTTTGATCTCGTTGATGACACATTCGCTAACACACTTGACTTGCTCTGTCAGCAGGTTGATAGAGAAGTTGGTGTCCAGCTAATTAAAGGGGTTAGCGTGGTGACTTACCTATGAGAGGGACTCCATCAGTGCGGCTCCACTCCTGGGAGGGGGCGGGGCTACCATCAACTGAACAGGAGAGGGTTACATCATCAAAGAGAATGGCGACAAGGGAGGGAGAGGGGAGAGACACCGTCGGGCGAACTGTGGAGGGAGAAGGAGGGAGAAATTAGGGACAAGTTGAGATCGTGGATTTCGTCTTCTCTTTGAAGATTAAAATGCACTAGAATCATAAAAATGTGTGAACGTTTGAGACTCTAAAGTGTGTCTTTTATTCCGAGTCACTTTCAAAGAGGTTCTACTGAACAGGTAGAGGTGGAGACAGAGATGCTGAGCAGCTCACCATGCACAGTCACCGCTGCTGAAACCACCGAGGTCCCATACTCATTGCTGGCCACACACTCATACACCCCACCATCATTGGGGGCCACGGGAGAAATATTCAGACCCCCACTGGGGGTCGTGGTAAATCTCCCCGTGGAGAGAGGGGCGGAGTCTGCCCTTCTCCAGGTAACGGTTGCCGTGGGGAAGTTATAGATGATGTCACAGGTAAGGGTGTAGTTATCGCTGGCAATGAGGACAGTGGGAGAGATGGAGATGGCAAGAGGAGGGTACCTGGTAAAGGAGATGGAATGTATTGGTGAGAAGATGTTGGTGAGAACTCAATCACATTAATACTGTAAACTATCAAGAGAGAAAAATGTAATGCTGTAATATAGAGTTTTTCCAGTTGGATCTCCTCCCATACATGTATGTACACACAACTTTTGTGGATTAGAAGGTCCCAAGTACTCAACTGATGCAATACATACATAGGACTCTAATGAGTTTCGTGAATTCACCTTCAACTCTAACTGTAGCAGTCTTGTTATAGGTTCCGAGTTCGTTCATAGCCCGGCACTCGTAGACCCCAGACTCCTGCTGTGTGGCGTTGACCAGCTGCAGACTCTCTGTGTGAACCACGTAGTGCTCCCCCACAGTAGCCACTAGCTGCCGTATTCCTCCCGTCTCGTTCTTCATGAACCAATCAATCCGCGGATTGGGCAGCCCGATTACTGCGCAGTCTAGGAATGCTCCCTCGCCCGGCTTCAAGTCAGTGTCAGACGAGGTTTTGTCTATCACTGGAGCAGCTGAAAAGACAAAGTCACCAAATGTTTGCTTAACTAGAACCACACCCACAAATATCACAGAATAATTCTTTCGCGATTTCATACATGCGAGTTTTTTTGGTTCATAGTGATCTTTGCAGTACGATATAGAGCATAGGCTGGTCTTAGGTTTTTTGCTGCGTTTTAAGGTGCACACTACAATAATCTTACATCCGACAGTGACTGTGACTTGTGCAGTGTCGAAGGCGTGTTCAGTGGTGACGTTGCACGTGTAAACAGCTGAATAGCTCTGGTCCGGGTTGTACACTGTCAGTGTTCCGGAATCTTCTCCTGCCACCATTTGGAAGCGTGAGTCTGCAGGTGGTATCAGGGTCCCATTTTGGTACCAGCGAATGGAGAACGGGGCTGGGCCGTGAGAGACACTGCACACGATGGTGAATGTGGTACCAGAAGAGAGGATGGGGGCGGGGCTAACGGTGAGTGAGGTCACCCTTGGATTGTCTGTGGAAATCAAGAATGTAGTGTGTAGTAATATAATGGAGAAGATATTATAAGGTTGAATTCTGTACGGTGATGAACAAGATATATACTCACCAAGAACAGTCAGGGTAGCAGATACATTTCCTACTGGCTGGTATCCATTGCTTGCCACACAGAAATACACTCCACTGTCTTCTCCGCTCACACTGTACGAGAGATAGAGAGAGAATCAAGTATCACAAAGCGAGAAGACTCACGATGACACTTTGATAAACTCCGATGCAACTACACATCATCATTTTTATGGTTTGATAAGCCATGCAACAAATGCTGTTGATCAAAATGTGCATGGCGTCAACCACAGTAAGCAGACTATCTGCGCAACAACTGGCATCGTGCACAACTATTATCATAATAATCTCCCTCACCTGAAGAGGTGTAGTGTTCCGGAGAGGTCCAGACTGCTGTTCCCAAGAGGTGCTCCGTATCTCCTGGACCACGATATGGTGGGTGTCGGGGGGCCCTCCGCTGCACAGGTGAGGCTCACGTCACTACCGTAGGCTGTCACAGTGTCGAGTGGAGGGACAGTTATGAGGGGGGCATCTGGAGAAAAGAGTGAGAGGTCTATTTTGTACGGATGTATGAATATGTTGAGCTTAGAGAGAGGATAACAAGCTGCAAGAAATAAGGAAATGAGGGAAGGAGAAAACGTCTTGATTTCAGGGTTCTCTGTTTCTTCAGTGGGGTCACCTCTGTACCATCATTCTTGTCATTATGCACACAGCAAGGTGTGGGTTCTAAGGTTGTTTGCCTGACCTTCCACAGTGAGTGTAAGTTGAGTCCTGTTCTCTCCGGCTGAGTTGGTGGCCACACACTCGTAGGAGCCAGCGTCAGACCTGGTGAGATGTGTCCCCAACACTAGAGCCCCATCTTCTCCAACCCCCAGAACCTGTATTCACCACACACAGCATGTCTGTACACTGTCGCCTCACCGTAACTGCTCACCTGTCCATTTGGACCGAGCCACGATATGGTTGGTTGGGGGAAACCCCTGGCAATACAGTTGGGTATAGGGCCCTCCAGAGTGTGGTTGACTACAAGGATGTTACTGACACTGGGGCTCAGTTCCACAGTCGGGGGAACTGGGTGCGAAGAAGGATATGAACGAAGGAGGTCAGACGATTGTTAGACTCACTCAGTATTTCGAGCTGAATGGTTTGAGATATAGTTGAAGAGCCAGAGATAGCAATGCAACTGTACCCTCCTTCATCATCCACCTGCACAGGATATCAGCGATCTACACGCACACATACAAAGAGTGGGTCAAGACAGACAGTGAGGTGTTCCAGACTGAGAGCCAGTCCGTTGCTCTCTCTCGTGAGCTCCTCCGTCACCTCGGCTCCATCGTGAAACCAGTGTAGAGTGTCCGCCAAGCCTTCCCCGCCCACCTCACAGTCTAGGGTGACGTCACTCCCTATCACACGTTGTAGAGGGTTCCCAGTGGGGGAGATGATCAGTTCAAATGGAAGTTGTGGCTCTGAGGGGTAGAATGTAACGTTACGCTTATGTAGGAATAATCTCAGCCGCGTTACGCAGATGACTGCGTGGCGCAATGGTAGCGCGTCTGACTCCAGATCAGAAGGTTGCGTGTTCAAGTCACGTCGTGGTCACGAACTTTTCCTCTTTTTTTCGGCCTATTTTGAACCGTAATGACTTGATGATTTTGCTTCACCTTAGTTTTTTCTCCACCTATTATTTTTCTAAATATAGCTGCCAAGCTGCCATTATTGCATTTCTTACCACCAATGGTCAATGCTGCACTTGTACTGTTGACACCAAATGAGTTCTGGGCATTGCAGTAATAATATCCTTCATCAGAGGACTGTACACTAGAGATAATTAGTGCAGACGAGTTCAGGAAAACCCTTCCGCCATTGCTCAAGTTCTGCTGCCCGTGTGTCCAAGACACAGTGGCTGGTGGGTTGCTGACTACAAGACAATGAAATACTGCCTGACTACCGAGTGATGCTGTGATAGACCTCAGTGGCTCTCTAAAAGATGGTTGACCTGTTGAAGAAACGAAAGAGTAATAGTGTGTCCATGTTGTGACTAAATGACGACTCACCTTGCACGCTGAGGGTTCCTGTATCACTCTGAAAGAGTAAACTGCCCATTTCATTGACAGCCTGGCACTGATACGGTCCTGTATCACTATACACGACCTCTGAAAACTGCAACGTACTCCGTCCAGTGGTAGAGTCGTACAGTGCAGTTCTTCGATCATCGTTTGTGTGAAATTCAACTCCATTCACTAGCCAGAGTATGGAGGGAGGGGGCGAAGGGTCAGGAGCATAGCAAGTGAGCGTCAGCGGACTGTGTGTCAGGACTGTGATACTGGCTGGAGAGTCTCGAAATGATTCACTCGATACTTCTGCAACATTATGCACGAGGAAATGTTTTTATCAGCTCATAACAAATTTATAGGTGTAATCTCACCTGGTAGGAGAGTTAGTATCAGCGGTAGAATTTCCACTAGGCAGCCGCAGTGGTATCTTCCGCGTGCCATGCTAGAAGGCTCGCGCGTGTGTGAATGTGTACGTACGTATATGCAGTGAAGGGGGTGGGGCTCGAGTGCAGTGCCAAACAACAAGGGGCGTGCCTGGATGCCAATAGCGACGAAAACAACTCCATGACCACACGAATGAATGTGCTTCTCGCCCAATCGCTGAGTCATAGTGAATATCACGTACCACCCACCGCCCATATGCAAAGAACATGTTCAGCAGTAATAAAACTGTGCTATATGGATAAAAACTAGTGTCCAAAGAGTTTTACATAAAGTTAGAAATGTTAGTACTCTTCCCCCTCTTCTTCGCCTTCAGCCTCGACGGTATCGAGACCGACTTCCTCGTAGTCTTTCTCGAGGGCAGCCAGATCCTCGCGAGCCTCGGAGAACTCTCCCTCCTCCATACCCTCTCCCACGTACCAGTGGACGAAGGCACGTTTGGCGTACATCAAGTCGAACTTGTGGTCGAGACGAGCCCAGGCCTCGGCGATAGCAGTAGTGTTGGACAACATGCACACTGCGCGCTGCACCTTGGCCAGGTCACCTCCAGGAACGACGGTGGGAGGCTGGTAGTTGATGCCGACCTTGAAGCCAGTGGGACACCAGTCCACAAACTGGATGGTGCGCTTTGTCTTGATGGTTGCGATGGCTGAGTTGACGTCCTTGGGGACCACGTCTCCACGGTACAGCATGCAGCATGCCATGTACTTGCCGTGGCGAGGGTCGCATTTCACCATCTGGTTGGCTGGCTCGAAGCAGGCATTGCTGATTTCAGCCACACTGAGCTGCTCGTGGTAGGCTTTTTCGGCCGAAATGACAGGGGCGTATGTGACGAGGGGGAAGTGAATGCGAGGGTAAGGCACCAGGTTGGTCTGGAACTCTGTCAGATCCACATTCAGGGCTCCATCGAAGCGAAGAGAAGCAGTAATGGAGGAGACGATCTGGCCGAAGAGACGGTTGAGGTTGGTGTAGGTGGGTCGCTCGATGTCGAGGTTCCTGCGGCAGATGTCGTAGATGGCCTCGTTGTCCACCATGAAGGCACAGTCCGAGTGCTCCAGAGTGGTGTGGGTGGTCAGGATGGCGTTGTAAGGCTCAACGACGGCGGTGGATATCTGGGGAGCTGGGTAGATGGCAAACTCCAGCTTGGATTTCTTCCCGTAGTCGACCGAGAGCCGTTCCATGAGAAGAGAGGCAAACCCTGAGCCAGTGCCGCCACCGAAGGAGTGGAAGATGAGGAATCCCTGGAGACCAGTGCACTGGTCGGCTAGCTTGCGGATCCTGTCGAGCACGAGATCAACGAGCTCTCTCCCAATGGTGTAGTGACCACGAGCGTAGTTGTTGGCAGCATCTTCCTTGCCTGTGATGAGCTGCTCTGGGTGGAACAGCTGACGGTAGGTGCCAGTCCGCACCTCATCTGTGTATATACAAGCACAATAGAAGAGGAGGGGCTGATGAATGTCAACGATAATTTTCGGCGCGAAAACGCCCCTTTTGCTGACCACTCACCCACAACGGTAGGCTCCAGGTCGACAAACACGGCACGGGGTACGTGTTTCCCAGCTCCAGTTTCGCTGAAAAACGTGTTGAAGGAGTCGTCTCCCCCACCGATGGTCTTGTCGGAAGGCATCTGTCCGTCAGGCTGGATGCCGTGCTCCAGACAGTACAGTTCCCAGCATGCATTGCCGATTTGCACGCCGGCTTGTCCTACATGGATAGATATGCACTCGCGCTGCGAAAGAAAAAAATAAGTGCGGCACGTAGCTCTAGCGTTATAAAATGACGTACCATTTTGCTGTTTTTTTGGAAGGAGAAGTGAGGGAAGTGATACTGCAGAAAGGCTTGCACAAACCGCGTAACGGGGGCTTTTGCAAGGCAGAAATGAGCTCGCTGTGTTGCGCGGGAGTTTTTCTTCCGGGCCCTCCCGTACCGTCATTGAGGATACGGAGCGCAACTTCAGCCAATCAAATCCTTTACAAGTGACGCAATTAATATATTTGCGCATGCGCATTTTGCGTTATATGTAAACTGAGTAAACTAGCTAGCTATGCACTCTCTAATATAATACACGAGTTTTGGGTTCACAGTTAGTGGTGGTCAAGGTTTAGTACTCTTCCCCCTCTTCTTCGCCCTCAGCCTCGACGGTATCGAGACCGACTTCCTCGTAGTCTTTCTCGAGGGCAGCCAGATCCTCGCGAGCCTCGGAGAACTCTCCCTCCTCCATACCCTCTCCCACGTACCAGTGGACGAAGGCACGCTTGGCGTACATCAAGTCGAACTTGTGGTCGAGACGAGCCCAGGCCTCGGCGATGGCAGTAGTGTTGGACAACATGCACACTGCGCGCTGCACCTTGGCCAGGTCACCTCCAGGAACGACGGTGGGAGGCTGGTAGTTGATGCCGACCTTGAAGCCAGTGGGACACCAGTCCACAAACTGGATGGTGCGCTTTGTCTTGATGGTTGCGATGGCTGAGTTGACGTCCTTGGGGACCACGTCTCCACGGTACAGCATGCAGCATGCCATGTACTTGCCGTGGCGAGGGTCGCATTTCACCATCTGGTTGGCTGGCTCGAAGCAGGCGTTGGTGATTTCAGCCACACTGAGCTGCTCGTGGTAGGCCTTTTCGGCCGAAATGACAGGAGCATAGGTGGCAAGGGGGAAGTGGATACGAGGGTAAGGCACCAGGTTGGTCTGGAACTCTGTCAGATCCACATTCAGGGCTCCATCGAAACGAAGAGAAGCAGTAATGGAGGAGACGATTTGGCCGAAGAGACGGTTGAGGTTGGTGTAGGTGGGTCGCTCGACGTCGAGGTTCCTGCGGCAGATGTCGTAGATGGCCTCGTTGTCCACCATGAAGGCACAGTCGGAGTGTTCCAGAGTGGTGTGGGTGGTCAGGATGGCGTTGTAAGGCTCAACGACGGCGGTGGATATCTGGGGAGCTGGGTAGATGGCAAACTCCAGCTTGGATTTCTTCCCGTAGTCGACCGAGAGCCGCTCCATGAGAAGAGAGGCAAACCCTGAGCCAGTGCCGCCACCGAAGGAGTGGAAAATGAGGAATCCCTGGAGACCAGTGCACTGGTCGGCTAGCTTGCGGATCCTGTCGAGCACGAGATCAACGAGCTCTCTCCCAATGGTGTAGTGACCACGAGCGTAGTTGTTGGCAGCATCTTCCTTGCCTGTGATGAGCTGCTCTGGGTGGAACAGCTGACGGTAGGTGCCAGTCCGCACCTCATCTGTGTATATACAAGCACAGTAAAAGATGAGGGGCTGATGCACGATAATTTTCGGCGCGAAAACGCCCCTTTTGCTGACCACTCACCCACAACGGTAGGCTCCAGGTCGACAAACACGGCACGGGGTACGTGTTTCCCAGCTCCAGTTTCGCTGAAAAACGTGTTGAAGGAGTCGTCTCCCCCACCGATGGTCTTGTCGGAAGGCATCTGTCCGTCAGGCTGGATTCCGTGCTCCAGACAGAAGAGCTCCCAGCATGCATTGCCGATTTGCACGCCGGCTTGTCCTACATGGATAGATATGCACTCGCGCTGCGAAAGAAAATTAAAGGCAAAATAAGTGGCAACCGGCACGAAAAAAAACTCCTTCTGCTGCTGCAAGATTTCGGCAGCCGACTCACTCGAAGTAAAGCCGATCGCAGCCGCACAAAAAAATTTTTGGTAAAATAACGTACCATTTTGCTGGTTCTTTTGGAAGGAGAAGCGAGAGAAGTGATACTGCAGAAAGGCTTGCACAAACCGCGTAACGGGGGCTTTTGCAAGGCAGAATGAGCTCGCTGTGTTGCGAAGGAAGTTTTTCTTCCCGGCCCTCCGTATACTCTGCACCGTCATCGGGGATACGGAGCGCAACTTCAGCCAATCAAATCGTTTACAAAAGTGACGCAATAAATACTTTTGCGCATGCGTTAGCTCTGTCCACGTACGTACGTACACGCGCTGTTCCGCGCGGACATTTAGATCGTTATCGCGTGCTGGCCGGCCAGAAATTTGTAATCGCGGGACATAGCAACGTATACGTGTAGTTTTTGTGGACTCGTTGCTATGGGGTTTTCTACCAATCCTGACGTTACACAGCGCTCAATGGTTGCAAAGAACATGAACACTAATTATACATCACCATGGCAGCTTCGCGCAGCCAGCTGCCAAAATTGTTTACAACTGCGCAGACCGTCTTTGTTGCAACCCGCGCCACGGGTACCCCGGAAAATCCGCTCAGTGCCAGCTTCACACAGTTTTTATCAACGCAAAGCCATATGCAGTAAGTGCACAACAAACCGTACTATACCTCGCACAAGACATCGCTCACTAAACATTTTTTGTCAGCTCGCAGCAAGCCCAGAGAGGTGGGGCCGGGTACCTAGTGCACGCGAGACTTCCGACGGCACTCTACACACACGCACTCATCGATGGCCCGCAATAGCCATAAATATCATTTGGAACAGCTACAAAAGCACTGCAGAGTTTGTGCTTCCAACTTCAATGCCAATTCAAAAGCCTCCATGCTCCTCCATAAAACCAGAGCAGTGGGCAGCAGTGGGCAGCAGTTGGCATTGACCAGCACTCTTGACATCCAGACATTCACCCACCAACAGTGTGCCTCAGTTGCCAGGAGAAAATGACAAGAATGGCTAATGGTGTAACAACACATCTTAGTGAAGCCTACAACTGGCGGGCACATGACGACAATGGCTGCGGAACATTCATCTTGTTTCGGAGCCAATCGGTAGGAGGTCGGCCAAAAAAGAACAGGGGTAGGCCAAGGAAATCCACAGAAGGGTTGACCAGACTCAAGAAGTCCACGACGCCATCCTGGGATGCTCTCCAACCAGCTCTCTTTCTCTCTCCGCCTAGTACACGTCCCCAGCTAGAGGACCTGCAGTGCTGCATGTGTCACTGCATTGTCAACAGGCCAGTAGAGACAGGTTGCAGAAAATTGGCATGCCTAACTGCGTCGTTGACAAGCAAGTTGCCCTCATTGCAGCACTCACGATGCACACATCTATCACCAGTATCAGACATCATCCTGAAGGTTGTGGGCGCACTCCTCCTCCGCTGTCCAGCCTGCAGTGGCAGTTACACGAGCTGAAGAATCACAGTGAGAGTAACTGTGCTTCCTATACTGTCCAACCACCATCGGTCCAGCTGGACGACGGAGAACAACAATTGCTTCCAATCCACAGACGCGCGTGGTCCCACCACCCATACCGCTCGGCAAAAAAAAGTTTAGAAGTCAAAAGCACGACCAAACTCTTCTACAGGGCCTACACAATACTATTAGTCGCTCTTTTAGGCGTTAAAAACTGTGTGACAGACGCTGCCACTTACTTCTTTCTCCTGTTTCACCCCTGCCGCTCTCGCCAAACCATCCCTTCGACCGGGAAAAAGAAGACGCACCGTCCGAAAGAGCAACAAACAAGCTCCCTCGTGGCGGAGGTTAAAAGTTCACAATAACAATTAGCTAGCAGTTTCCCCGGGGCAAAAAGAACTGGCCCGTTGCCACGCACGCGTTGTTAAGGATTACGTAATTTTAATGTGACGCAGCTAAATGAGCACGCGCGTGTAGGACGCGGAACAGCCGTGGTACAGTAACTATGCACTCTAATAATACACGAGTTTTTTGGGGTCACGGTTAGTGGTGGTCGAGGTTTAGTACTCTTCCCCCTCTTCTTCGCCCTCAGCCTCGACTGAGTCGACACCGACTTCCTCGTAGTCTTTCTCGAGGGCAGCCAGATCCTCGCGAGCCTCGGAGAACTCTCCCTCCTCCATACCCTCTCCCACGTACCAGTGGACGAAGGCACGTTTGGCGTACATCAAGTCGAACTTGTGGTCGAGACGAGCCCAGGCCTCGGCGATGGCAGTAGTGTTGGACAACATGCACACTGCGCGCTGCACCTTGGCCAGGTCACCTCCAGGAACGACGGTGGGAGGCTGGTAGTTGATGCCGACCTTGAAGCCAGTGGGACACCAGTCCACAAACTGGATGGTGCGCTTTGTCTTGATGGTTGCGATGGCTGAGTTGACGTCCTTGGGGACCACGTCTCCACGGTACAGCATGCAGCATGCCATGTACTTGCCGTGGCGAGGGTCGCACTTCACCATCTGGTTGGCTGGCTCGAAGCAGGCATTGGTGATTTCAGCCACACTGAGCTGCTCGTGGTAGGCTTTTTCGGCCGAAATGACAGGGGCGTATGTGACGAGGGGGAAGTGAATGCGAGGGTAAGGCACCAGGTTGGTCTGGAACTCTGTCAGATCCACATTCAGGGCTCCATCGAAGCGAAGAGAAGCAGTAATGGAGGAGACGATCTGGCCGATGAGACGGTTGAGGTTGGTGTAGGTGGGTCGCTCGATGTCGAGGTTCCTGCGGCAGATGTCGTAGATGGCCTCGTTGTCCACCATGAAGGCACAGTCGGAGTGCTCCAGAGTGGTGTGGGTGGTCAGGATGGCGTTGTAAGGCTCAACGACGGCGGTGGATATCTGGGGAGCTGGGTAGATGGCAAACTCCAGCTTGGATTTCTTCCCGTAGTCGACCGAGAGCCGCTCCATGAGAAGAGAGGCAAACCCTGAGCCAGTGCCGCCACCGAAGGAGTGGAAGATGAGGAATCCCTGGAGACCAGTGCACTGGTCGGCGAGCTTGCGGATCCTGTCAAGCACAAGATCAACGATTTCCTTTCCGATGGTGTAGTGACCACGAGCGTAGTTGTTGGCAGCATCTTCCTTGCTGGTGATGAGCTGCTCTGGGTGGAACAGCTGACGGTATGTGCCAGTGCGCACTTCATCTGCAGAGAAAGAAAGAACGTTTGTATAGTTGCTAGAGCTCTAAGAAAAAGTACTTACCCACAACGGTAGGCTCCAGGTCGACAAACACGGCACGGGGTACGTGTTTCCCAGCTCCAGTTTCGCTGAAAAAAGTGTTGAAGGAGTCGTCGCCCCCGCCGATGGTCTTGTCGGAAGGCATCTGTCCGTCAGGCTGGATGCCGTGCTCCAGACAGTACAGTTCCCAGCATGCATTGCCGATTTGCACGCCGGCTTGTCCAACATGGATGGATATGCACTCGCGCTGCAGTGGGGAGAAAGAAATGCAACTCTGCGGCAATGCACAATCTTACGAACCATTTTTGAAGGTTTTCGAGAAGAAAATGAGATGAAAGAAGCAGTCTAAGAAGCGAAAAAGTAGCGCTTGCAACGGACAGTGCAACGAGAGCCTCTGCAAGTTTGAATGTGAGTTTGCAGCCGTAACCTGAGGGCTTTATAGCGTCGCCATTGGCAGCTGCTTCCACGCGCCAAAATCGCTTGGATAATCTGACCAATCATGTTCGCGTTTCACACACGTGGTTTGGCGCATGCGCAAAGGTACGGCGAAGTAGTGGGCGGGGCCGGCGGGGTGTGTCTTGGTGAGAGGTAGGTGTGTAGAGCTATAGAGAGAGCTAGCTGGCTCTGGGTATCGCAGTGACTGTGTGTCTGCTCAGCGGCCATAATAATATGAAAGGTCAGATCATTGGGACCCTTCGCTGTGTACATAGCTCCCTGTATCAACCAGCTTCTTGATAAATCCAAAGGGATTAGCTCGTATAATCGTGAAGAAAAGATGGGCGGGGCTGCCTTGTTGTTGATGTTTGCTCTGCTGTTGACGTCAGCTTCTTGTCAAATCGGTAAGTGCAAGCTGCAGCCGTGAACTCTTTCTTTCTCGCGCCCCGCCGTAAGTATTCTCTCACTCTCTCTCTCTCTCTCTCTCTCTCTCTCAGTGTTCGAGGTGGAACCAGAGGATGTCTTGGCCGCGGCCGGTGCAAGCGTCCGCTTCGACTGCACGTTCACTCACCTCCTCCCCATCAGCCGCGTCTCTCTCGTGGCTGCGCGACGGAGCCGTGCTCGCCAGCGACTCCCGCCACACGTACCACTCCAACGGGAGTCTGCAGATCTCTCCAGTGGCCGCGGAAGACGAGGCAGACTACACTTGCAGAGTTACCGACACTACCACTCTGGAAATCGCAGAACGAAGTGCATCGCTCACTCTGGCTTGTAAGAACACCAATAACTAGCTATACACCCTAACTCTATAGTGACAGAATATCCCTTTTTGCACTAATGCTCCAGTCATTGTGGACTCCTTTCTTCTGAGTCCTGACCCAACGACTGTGGATGAAGGGGACTCCCTCCTATTGTTCTGCATCCACGGTGGCAGTCTCCCGGCAGCTGCCATCTCTTGGACTGTGGACGGCAACCCAGTAGAACCTTCAGACAGGGTCTCTGTTAACTCTTTGGTGTTGTCAGGGACGGACCCTCCCCAGACCTCGAGCTCTCTCTTCGTGTCGTCGACTGAGCCGGCAGACGAGGGCAGCTATGCCTGCCAGGCCAGGAACGAGCTCTTGCCTGCGACAGTCATCACCAGCAGTGGAGCCAATGTCAACGTGATTGGTAAGGAAAATCATCTACAATATTACATATAGCTTCCATAGCAAAGCAGGTTGAATATAACTATCAAGTCAATGTTGCAGAAATGTTGCATCAAAGTGTTCTTAACACTTATCTTTGGTCGATAGAGCCTCTATAATACCATTATATAATCTCAAACAGGAATGCCCCGCCCACCAACAATAACAGAGCATCCATCAGACGTCACTGTCATCCCCGGTGGAGTCGCCTCATTCTCCTGTTCCGCCAGTGGGCAACCTCCTCCCACGATCACCTGGTACCACAGCGGGGTCCAGCTGGTCCCTGGAGGAGATGTGACAGTGACTGTCCAGTGGAGAGAGGTCCACTCTGGGGGTGGGTGGAGTGGGGGAGGAGGAGGAGGGGCAGTACCTCTGTCTGGCACAGAATAGTCTCGGATCTGCCAGCAGCGAATCAGCTGAGCTCCAACTGGCCTGTGAGTCTTACCATTTGTTAGCTATTAGCATTGTGGTACTCTATTTACTAGTAAACATGACAGCTAGTTAGAAGAAAGAGTAATGTCGCTTGCAAACCTCCCTTATTTGCTTGCAAAACTCCTTTAATAGTTCAGAAGATGAAGTCACTGCACAAACGAAAGGCATCGGTAATAATTGAGTGTCAGACACCAACAGTCCCATGTGGTCTAGTGGTTAGGATCCGGCGATCCACCGCCGTGGCCGGGGTTCGATTCCCCGCATGGGAGCTTTTTTTTACTCTTTGTTCTCTGAAACTAGCTTCTTCTGGTAGTGATTTTCCTATAATAATAATAATAGTGTAGACCCCAAGAATATGTACATACCTGGATATCTCGAAGCTCTCTTCTCTGCCTCCTCCTGCAGTCCTGGACTCTGAGTTCCAGTTGACTCCTGCCAACACTGTGGCCACTGTCGGAAGAGACACTCGACTCGACTGTCTTCCCCCACCCAGCCACCCTTCTGCCACCATCTCCTGGACCAGAAATTACGCCCAGCTCCCAGTGGAGAGGTTCTCCCTCCTAACGAACGGGAGTCTCCTCATCTCCTCGGTCGTCCTGGGAGACCAGGCCGTCTATCACTGCGTCGCTACTAACATCTCCTTGGAGTGTCTGCCACCAGTGGCTCTGCACAGCTCACTGTACTCTGTGAGATAGTCTTATAGCAGCTAGCTCACTGTAGTTGGTGAGAGAGACATGGATGTGTAGTCGTTTCATGCATGTGACCAAACAAGTCTTAGCGGTAAGTTTTGAAGGAAAAGTCTCTAGTCCCAGTAGAATGGCCTACGTATTTCATATGCTTGCCTTAATCTTACATGGGAAAATGCTTCCATAAGCCAACTACTGTGGTATATACTATGCTCTGCCTTCTCCCTCCACAGCTGTACCCACAGTGACTCCAGACTCAATCTCAGTCTCCATCGGCCAATCAACGACGTTCCTCTGTGAGGCCTCGGGGTCCCCGCCCCCCTCGTTAACCTGGTTCAACGGGACCACAGAGATCACGGGGAGCACTCCCCGCACCGTCCTCACCCCCACCACCCTCACACTCTCACACATTGTGAGGGAGGACCAGGGGGAGTATGTCTGTCTGGCTACCTACCTCAATGGAACCACTCAGTCTAGTGCAAGTCTCTGGGTCACCGGTGAGCTGTAGTTGTGTGTCTCTCTTTAGTAGGCAACAGCACGGCATCTTGATAAAGTCCTTCTTTTAACAGAGGGTGGTTTTATCAATATTCAAAACCAGACCTGCCGGAGGTCAACCCCTGACTAAAGAACTTGTAATGAGACACACTTGTAATGTCAGCTAAGGCATTGTCGACATTGAAAAACATTGGCTATAATTGTCAAAAGACTTCAGTGTGTGTGTGTGTATGTCGTGTCACTTGTTTCTCTCTATTTCTCGTCTCATCTGAGTCTATCTACGGTCTCGACCTCTCCCACTGTCCATTCCCCAGCTCCTCCTCTGTTTGTTGATTCCTCCGTCTCCCTGACAACCGTGGAGGGTCATGATGTCACTCTCCCGTGTGCCACTTTCCCCGACCCTTCTCTCTCCTTCACCTGGTTCTTTGACGACGTCCAGATCTCGTTACCCAGTGACGAAGAGGGAGGCCCTGTCCTCCTCACCAATGGCAGTCTCCATCTCTCCTCAGTGAGGGACAGTCGGGAGGGAGAGTACACCTGTGAGGCCAGGAACAATCTTGGAACTGCAGAGGGCACTGTCCACCTCACTATCTTTGGTGAGGAAGAACTGGGGAAACTTTTGGGATCTTTGAATCCAGGGAGCGAGAGAATAAAGAATCAGTTGATTAATCCTTTGGGAACGGTTCTTACTACATCTGTCTTTTAACTGACTTTGGAAAGGTGTAGATTTGTCTTGCCTTTGCCTGCCTTGAAACAACTCTGTTGTCATGTAAGCATTGGTTGACCCACTAAGAACCTGCATTGCTCTGAATCTTTGCTGTCTATTGATGTGTGATGGATATATACACGTACATAATGTGGTGTATGCTGCTGCAGAGGCACCCTCCGTGACTCCCTCCCCTGCCACCGTGACTGTGACCGAGGGAGACACAGCCGTCCTCAGCTGTGTCGTGACAGGAGACCCGACCCCCGTCCTCAGCTGGTACCACACTGGGACGCTCCTGCCCGGGGAGACGGAGGGCAGCCTCACTCTGGAGGGAGTGGGCAGGGAGGAGGAGGGATTGTATGAGTGTGTCGCCAGTAACCAGGTCGGAGATGACAGAGCCATCATCACACTTGTTGTCTACAGTGAGCACCTTTCAATACAATGTCACCACAATGTCTTGATCTTATTTGATGCCACTACAATGATTTTACAAATTCGTGCCCAGATCAGCAATGTAGTACTACAATCGCAATTGTTGTTCACTGTTCCTCTCTTTTCCTGCTCTCTCTGAACTTTCTCTTCCCTGCTCTCTCTGAACTTTATCTTCCCTAGCTCATCTCTCCTTCCATCCTCTTCCATTTATTATCCGCTGATAATTCTATGTTATTCTCTCTTTCTCGCTCCCCTCTTTTCCCCTGTCTATAATTATAAACATCTCCTCTTCCAACAACAAATGAAACTCTCTCTCTCTCTATCCTCCCCCAGCCCACCCAACGGTTGTAGTATCTCCATCACTACTGGAGCTCCAGATTAGCTCCATGGCAACATTCTCCTGCACCGCATCAGGAAACCCCGTCCCTATCGTCACGTGGACTAACGAGGAGGGCGTTGACGTGGCAACGCTGGGAGACCCTCGGATACGTGTGGTGGGAGGGACCCTGACAATCAGTGAAACTGTTGAGTCAGACACACAGATGTTCAACTGTACAGCCAGTAATGTGGTGGGCAGTGACTCCGCCACTGTCAGTCTCAATGTACTAGGTATGTGTGTAGTACGTACACATTTAGTGCAGCCTTATTCCGTAACCATCTGCGCACTTTGACCTACACACTTTGTTGTGTGTAGTCATGTACCCAACCCCTAGCAACAGTCTTATCACTCCTCCACTTTGCCAAACACCAATACTAACTATACACACCATGATATAATGTGACCTGACATACTTGTGTTCCCATGCACCCCCTCCCCCCCTCTCTCTATTGCTCTCCAGTTCCCCCAGCAGTGTCTCTGCCTCCCGCCATGCTGGCCAGTCAGGGAGACTCCCTCATTCTCAACTGTCAACCCACTGGCAACCCTCCTCCCTCTCTCTCCTGGTTCAAGGACGGCCAGCCACTGGTTCCAGACAATGATAGACTCACAGTCTCTCGTCAGACAGTTGTCATAACCAGCCTGTACTCCATTGACCAGGGTAACTACTCCTGCCTGGCCACAAGCACTCAGGGAGCTGCCACAGCCAGCACCTTCCTTACTGTCCTTGGTGAGCCTACCTATACTTATCCTTGCGTGCTATTTCACCGCCAGTTTATACAGTTAAACCTACATACTGTACATGTATACATACACTTGTCAATTATTTTAGCGGTGCATCTTTTAGTATATAGCACTTTGTTAATCTTTAACTGATGCACTTTTCTCTTTTCAGTTATTCCAGTGATTCATGCTGGGGTATCCGTGGTAACGGTAACCGAGGGCGACACGGCAGTGTTGGACTGCAATGCGACGGGGAATCCCCCTCCGACGGTGTCCTGGTTCCATTCCTCTCTGCCCGTCCCGGAGCCAGACGACACGAGGCTGGGCCAGGCGGCCAACAACAGTCTGATAGTGACTGGGGTAATGGAGGAAGATGGAGGACAGTACTTGTGTCAGGCTGTCAACGAGGCAGGGAGCGAGACTGCTCAGATACAGCTCGTGGTCTATGGTGAGCCTTCCTAATTACTGCTCCGTTCTTTATTTTCTGCCTGTGAACTAGCATGAGATGTAGGGTCATAGGTTCAGATATAGAGGGTGTCAATATGTAGACAATCCACCTTTAATTCCATGCTCTCTGTTCTGGTTTCTACACACGTTCATTCTTATTTCCTGCTCTCTGCACAGAAACACTCTCTCTTATCTTTTCCCCTATGACTTTAATACAACATACCTCTCTCTTCCTTCCGTAAACTGTTTTTCTGTCATTTCTCTCCTCTTCCTTCCTCAGTTGCTCCTCTAGTAACACCACTAGAGAGCTCCGTCACAATAGTGGAGGGTTCAGAGGTCACATTGACCTGCTCGGCCACCGGCCACCCCACTCCGACCGTCTCCTGGCAACGTAACGGAGGGGAAGTCCCCAGTGACTCCACCCCCAACCTGTCGTCGGAGGGCGGGGAGGGGGCAGGGTCACTGATCATATCTCCTGTGAGGGGTGAGGATGGTGGGGTGTGGGAGTGTGTGGGGACCAACATCATCGCTAGCAACCGAGAGTCCATCACTCTCACTGTACTAAGTGAGTCAATAATAATAGGGTCCAACCCCCGATATTTGGTTCACTCATTCTCTCGTTCCCCAGTTCCACCGTCCATCCTCTCCCTCCCTCACACTGTCACTGTCACCGAGGGCACACCTCACACCATCATCTGCACGGCAACGGGGGACCCGCCCCCACTAATTACCTGGTTACGAGGGGGTGTGGTCGTCTCCGCCCAGGGTAGTCTATCGTTGGAGCCCAGTGCAAACAGGAGTGACACGGGGCTCTATACATGTACTGCAGCCAATACAGCAGGCAGAGACAGTAGAGATGTCACCATAGACGTCCAATGTGAGTGGCTCTTATTGCATGCTGAATGCAGTACTACTGGTAGAATCTCATGTGGATGTTATGATGTTGATGAAGTTCGTGATGTATGTCAATTTGACAAAGGCATGAGCTCAAAATGACAAAATATTCCATTGTACTGTTGAAACAACATTACATAACACTAACATCATTTCTCACCACACACACACTCCTGCAGACCCTCCCACCATCACCCAGTCCCCAGTCTCCCAAACCACACACCTCCACTCCCCCGTTCTCTTCCAGTGCTCCGCCCACGGAAACCCCGCCCCCCTCATCACCTGGAATTTCCAGGGGTCCCCCATCGCGGGGGTCCAGGAGGGAAATTTCACGGTTCCCTCAGCGGGGGCAGAAGACGTGGGGACCTATAGCTGCGTGGCCAGTAACTCACTAGGACAGACCTCAGCTGATGCCACTCTCTTCGTCCTCTGTGAGTTAATGATGGAAAAAAAGTTGAAATGTTCTACAAACGGTGTCAGTTCATTTTCATAAAGATTTTTTAGTAGCTCTCCACTTGGCTTGTCCATAAGACACCGAGCTGATATTGAGAGTATATATACACTGTGGTCCTAAATCACAGTTGGATCGGTTTCGTATGATCTTCTTTGCAGTCCCCCCATCCCCACCGACTCTCCTGGGTGCCGTGGCAACAGGCTCCACCACCATCTTCCTCCAGTGGACACCCGGCACCGACGATGGGGGGAGCCCCCTGACTAATTACGTCATCGAATACCGCCTGTTGAATGATGAATCGTTCATCTCAGTCGTCGCCAGTGTTGACGACCTGAGTGCCACCATTAGTGGGTTAACCCCTTATGGACTGTACGAGGTGCAGGTGAGGGGAGAGAACGCAGTAGGTCGCGGAGACCCCAGCTCCTCTCTCTCCACACGGACTCATTCTGAAGGTGAGCATGTCGACCGACACTCTTACATAAGTTACTAGTTTTGTACATACTCTTACTGGAAGTTTAAAGACGTGTGGTGTGTTGGACAATTAACTCTGGTTTTTATAGCATGCTTCCTGATCTGAGAAAAACAGTTTCCAATCAAATTTTGCAGCTTTCTGTATTTTCTGCCCTCCCTCTCCCTCTGTAGCTCCGAGTGCCCCGGGAGACTTTGCTGTGGTCTCCTCCACCTCCACCTCCATCTCTCTGTCATGGAGCACCCCTCAACCTCTCAACGGTCAACTGGCAGCCTACCAGCTAGAGTATGGGGCCGAAGACACCTTTGATCTCTCTCACCAGACCAGGTCAGCATACTGAATCGCTTTAGTACTATCTTTCGTTCATCTCCTGCCGTATACATAATATCTATCAGTCTGTCTGTTGTTCTTTTTCTTATTGCGCAATCTTCACGGAGCTTACGTCCTCTGGCAAAGAAAGCTACGTGTGGTAAACCCTCCCCCCCTCCCAGATTGGTAACCGTAACAGAGTTGAGAAAGTCATATGTTGATTCAAGAATGTGTGTGTATGTTCACTATTATCTCCACAGGTTCTTGACGACCACTGAGATAGAGGTGGCGGGAGTTGAGGCAGGGGTGACGTATCTCCTAAGAGTGAGGGCGAGTACAGTAGGCCAGGACGGACTGTTCCTCTGGGGTCCTTACTCACTCCTGAGAGTCAGAGATGGACACACTTTGGAGATTCCTACCCTCCCTCCCTCCCCCTCTCCTTCTCCTTCTCCTAGTCCATCTTCTTCCTCCTCCCCATCTCCTGTGGTTACCAGCTCCAGTCCGCAACCAGTACCGACATCGTCCAGAACTGAGCCCATCGACAGAACTAGTTCTTCTGTGACTGCTGTTCCATCGTCTTCCTCCTCCTCCTCCTCATCCCCCTTCTCCTCCACACCCACCCCCTCTCCCCCTCCTCCTTCTTCTCCTCCCACAGTCACTCCCACAGACCTGTCTCTCTCTGCTACTGGTGTTGGTACCATCACTGTGTCTTGGAAGGTCCGTCTATACACTAGTAACAACATGATTCCACTCTGCATAGTCTTATACTATTTCATATTTCTTTCTGGTTGTTGTAAAACACATTGTGATACTCTTGCATAGAATGTTGTTGAGTGTGAAGATCAAATTTCATTTCTCTCTCTCCTCTCCAGCCTCCGATATCAGAGCTGGAAACTGTAGACGGCTACACCATTATCCTCTCCCCTCCCCACCTTCCTCCCACCCTCATCCCTCACCAGACCACACCCACTGACTACTCTGTCACCCTCACAAACCTCACCAGCTTCACCGAATACACCGTCACCGTGGCAACCTACAATGAGGGTGGACAGGGGCCCTTGTCATTGTCAGGGGTAATCAAAACGATTGAATCAGCACCATCAGCACCGCAAGACGTACCGTCGTAATTTTATCAGACAGAAGTATACTGGTGACATGGTTGCCCCCGGCGATGCCCAATGGGATCATCACTAGCTATACACTGCTGGTACATGAAGAGTACTGTATGGGTGTAAAAAATTAAAGGCAAACATTTTGGGAGGAAAAAGTTAGTGCGGACCCGTTGTACTGTGGAAAAGTAAATGTGAAAATTTTCCTCAATAGTTTTTGCAGTCAAAAGAGAAACTCAGTAATGATACAATGTGCTACTCAATATGAAGACTGATACAATGGTGTGGTGAGTCCCCCTTCTCCCCCCTCCACCACACGCACCACCGTGCAGGTCAACTCCACCGGGGAAGAGGTGTTCTCCCTCTCCCTCGCTGTCCCTTCCTCCAGTCACCTGGCCTCTCAGTCAGTCACAGTCCCAGACCTGGCTCTGGACTCATTCCGGTACCGGATCCTGGTGACTGCAGCCAACAGAGCTGGCACCGGACCCTCCTCCAAACCCGTCTTCATTGGTTCAGGAACATTCATACATGTAGTATGACATGTGTGGGTAGGAAAGCCCCTCTCAATTACATTCATTCAGAAATCTTGGTAGCGGGGTTCGCATGGCATACTACGCACGAGCTACTGTAGCTCTGACAATTTAGCCCAATAACACCTCGAAGTTGTAAATGCACCCTACAATTTGAATTTTTAAAGCCACACACTATAGTGTCATTTCTTTGCATGTGGACATCATCGCAGTAACCCAGCCTTTGGCTAGCAGCGAGAGGGACTCTGACTACTACATCGTCAGAATCGTACCGCCAATTGTGGGCGCGGCTTTGATAGTCGTTGCCGTGGTGATGTTTGGGCTCCTCTGGCGATACTGTCGGGACTACAAGCTGCGCATGAAGAGAAAAGGGATGTACAAGTGTAAGTTGTCACAAAGATTCAAGATAAATTTGCACCCCTTCCCGGCCCCTCTTCTCTTCACCCACAGTTTCTGGCGCTGAAAGTGGAAGCGATTTTGAGCTCAAGTAAGTCAGTCACCACAATCTGCACTTATATCACCTTCTCTTCCCCTCCCTTCCTCCTCCCTCCCTTTCTCCTCCTTCCCCTTCCTTCTCCCTCCCCTTCCTCCTCCCTCCCCTTCCTCCTCCCTCCCCACTCACACACACACACAGGGCTCGGCTGGACGAGGGAGCGGTTGCCGGGGACGACATCGAGACCTCAGTCTACTATGTGAAGGATGCACTTGATGCCAATGTGACGTATGCAGCAGGTCCTCAGATCCACACGGTGACAGAGAGGAGAAGAGAGGAGGAGGAGGAGGAGGAGGAGGATGGGTGGAGAGAGGAAGATGTGGACACACCAGATCTTGGAGGTGAGGCCATCCTCTGTGACACAGAACACACACACACACACACACCTGAAATCAGGTTTGGGGAGTTTCCAGGGAGATAACGTACATTGTGTGGACTTATTGGTGAAAACTGAGTCATTTCTGAAGAAAAACACTTGTGGTTTTAGAGCCACATGCACAAGTACATGTACCAGAGATTCAGCTGTAGCTTTTTGCAGTAGACACACAATCTCTCAATATTGTCGTCAATGCAGACTACCTAACAGGAGAGGGGGAAGAGACAGATCTACTGGCGGAAGGTCGCGATGCTCTCCAGGAATCTCCCTCCCATGCCTACTCCGACCGCCCTGACTCTCTCGAGTTCCCCTCCCTCCCTCACCCTTCCCACCCTCACTCCTCCCCCTCACACCCTCTCCCCGCCCACACCTGATGGCTGAGGACTCTGGCAGTCAAGACTCCCTCTCCAAACCTCCCTATCAGCCAGGTAGGTCATGTGACTCATAACAACAGTCATGTGACACATCACGTGATCTTTACATGACCTGAATTCAGGGTTGTTCTGCTATCTTGCTTCCACCATTTTGTCTTTCTGTATAATTATACCTCACTCTATACTTTCACCTTTTCCCATCTTGCCCCAAAAATTCACTATTTCCTTCGCCTTTCCCCCCTTCGCTCAAAACATAATATTTTCCTCTCATAACTCTCCACAAATTTACCGTTTCCCCACACCTTCCAGGTAGAGTTTTTTTAACCCTTTCCCCACACCTCCCAGGTGACTACTCGTACGAGGAGCTGGACGCCATAAGAGCGAGGAAGGTGCAGATGAGAGCCAAGAGATTCCGACAGACAAACCCAGAGTCAACTGGGTACTCCTCCGGAGGACTCATGGAGACGAGGATAGGGGCCGTGGGGGGCGGGGCAGTAGGCGGGGCCAGGGGGGGAGTCCCCTCTCGTTAGCAACGGACACGTAACCCCAGGAGACCTAGCACACATGTACTAACTGCACACACCTTCCCTACCACACCATCTGTAACATGTACATACTTATGTACACACCGAGTGACTTAATCTGACATAATAAAGATAGCTACATTAGCTCATTGCCGCGCTCCACGCATTGTGCGCGTGCGCAGCACAACCAAAGTACACTGTGCTAGTAGTGGGGTTCTGATCCCACCAGTGCCACTTCACCATTTTCTACATCTCGCTACACCCCACTACACAGAAATGAAAAGGTACTACTACAGGTACATCAGTACTATTGTAGGTACGATGCACTTTTCAACAAAAGAGGTGGTAGCATAGTAAGGAGGCTATCTTCATAACTGTGGTTGACTTTACTAACCTCTGTTGTTTTTGTCACTTTCACCAGAGTACAAAGAAAGAGATGGTTTAGAGAGGGTCTTTGAAAACTGTACACAACTCCACTGAGGAAAAACACACACATATGTAGCAGGGAGTTCATACTGCACTAGTACAGGGTCAGTAGACAATAGAGGCGTGGGTGGAGGGAGAAGGAAAGAGTAGTTGACACAAGAGCAGTGAGGTCATGTTTGTGGACTGGGTCCGTCTTGCGTGTTGGTGGAACTTGGTCATCATGTGTTCTCCTCCAGTTTTTCCAGCTGTGTTGATGTTATATTGATGGAGGGACAGAGAACACAACACCAGCAGTGGACACTTTAACACATTAGCACACACAAGAGGGGAGAAAGACGGATGGATGCTCCTACTTACCTCTTCCATCTTGAGCTGTCTCTCTGCCTCAAGCTCCTTCAGAAACACCTCAAATCTCCCCTGTGCACAGACACACCAACTTCACAATCACGTTGCATCACACACCCTCCACACGCCGTCGTTGCTTTGCAGAGCTTTGTAACAGATTCTTTACAATCACAACACATCCCGCATTGCTAGCCCTTGCCGCATATTCCAAACCCACCTTCACCTTTTGTTTCAGCAGTGGTATGTAGTATGTAACTCTGTGTACAGAAGCTCAATAAGGGGCGAAATAGCCGGCCATGCAAGCACACACGACACAGCTCCACTGAGCCACTTTTGGAGGTAGCCTGTATACATACATACAAGAAATCCACACAAACTGACCCTGAGACTGGTGTTGGCAGTGTTCTGAATCTTCAGTTTCTGCTCCTCTATCTGGTTGTCAAGGTCCTGAATTGCGCTGCTGACTTGCCTCATCTGCTCCGTCTCCATCACCTCTTGTATAGGGAGAGACAGACACACCCACCTTTAGACCTCTCTCCCTCTCTATCTCCTCTCTCCCTGCCTTTTCTCTCCATTTCCTATCCCCTACGCTTCTTCTAGTCCTTTCTCTCTCTCTTTCTCTCTCTATTACTCTCCTTCTCTATCTTTACCTTGCAAGCAAAAAGTACATTGACCTAGCCTAGAGTGTAGTTGCCTTGTTTGCTTTGCCTTCACCCTAATGCCTCGTTGATGACACATGCAACAATACTGTATGTAAGAGTCTGTTGCCATAACTAATGGCAGTGTTGTTTCAAACACCAGCCAGGCTTGCCTATCTTGCAGCAAACTGTAGCCACCCACTGTATAATAAACCAGTTAGTCCACCTGAGACCCAGCTGAACCAGTTCTGAAATAATATCCAGCGCCTACTTTGTCCTAAAACAGAACAGCTGCCAGGCAATCCGGCTACACCCTGTGTCATTAGCCAGAACCTCCAGCAATGTACAGCTATAGCACCTATGAAGGTCTTTAGGGTGAACTAACACAAAGCTGCTTTGCTCACTTTGAAGAAAATAGAGCACTGACTACATGGCAAGTTTTACTACTTACCAATCTCTTCATCTTCTTCTCCCTCTTCCTCATCCTCCTCGTCCTCCTCTTCCTCCTCCTCCCCGCCACTGGAGCTGCTCACGTCCTCCAGCAGCTGCATGAGAGCCTGTTTCTCGTCGTGGTGACTGTTGCCATGGTACGGTCGGATGGGGGGCGTGGTGGACGAGAGGGAGTCCTCGTCCAGATTTGCTGCAGGGGTGACTGCCCGTGAGGCACCCTCTGACGCAACACTGAGCAAGAGAGGGGGAGAGAGGAGAGAGGGATAAATGAAGGATTCTATCTTTGTCTCTATACTACAAGCACGCTCTATAGAGAACAGGGCTGGGGGTTAGATGGATTTGGCCCAAAACATGACATGCTGGTAAAACACAGCTCCCCCCCACCTCTGGGTGTCTTCATTAGCCTTGTCTTCATCAGTCACCACCTTCCATGCTTGATACACCAGTCAAGACCACACTCCATACGACAGGGTGAGAAGAGAGGGAGGGGGAGGAAGATGAGGGGGGGGGGGGAGGAAACGAGGGGGGATGAAAAGAAAAGGAGAGAGAGAGAGAAGAGGGATACAGACATTGACGGCATTGAGGTCCTCTCTGAGCAGTCTCTTCACCTCCTTCTCCACCTCCGGAGAGTCCACAAACTGACAGACACACACACACACAGGCAACAAGAGACAGTTGGAGTATAAGAGTCTAGAGTGATTGTGTTGGTGTGAGAGACCTTCTTCGTTGTCATCTTCTTGAAGCGACGTCGACGGACATTCTTCAGCGGTGGAGTCACTACAGAAACAGTAGCAAAAAAACCTGCACTAAACCTCCTAAGAGGCTATGTATACGCAGTCACTCCAAACCCCCCTCCAGCAAGAGTATGAAAATACCACTCATTCTGTGGCTACTACTGCCTAGTGGGCACATTCTAAAAGAGTGGAAAAAATGAGTGGCAGTTGGGATGCATAACTGCTGCACACTCCATAAGCTTAGTGCAAACTCCCACATCAAACACACATCCCTCTGTTGCCATCCCTTTGCCTTAGGGCAACCTCTTTAGGAGAACGAGAGGTTTCAGAGGCAGCTGTAATGGGATTTCTCCACATGCTACATTGTACATTGGGATATATTTACAAAGGGACAAGCATCCACCTCTAGCAGGGAGAAAAATCAGAGCGTTTCTTAAATCGTGCCAAACATTTCTCCACAGACAGGGGATGCTTCGTACAGCTGGACCTCCATCGAACTACTAGTTGTCTCCCTCATTTCTTGCTGCACGGTGCTTTTCACTAAACCAAGCTATTATCAGACAGTAAGCTGACTGTCCCTACTATCTACCCCTTGCCCGCCACCAGCTCAACCCACGTCCGTGATTGAAGGTGAACTTCTTGAGGTACTCCTTCTGCTGTGAGGTGGGGAGCTCTTCGATGTTGGAGACTGCGGCCGTCTCCAGCGGGCTGCGCGAGCACACCAGGACCTGGGAGATGTTGCCAGTCTTGTAGAGGGTCCTGCTCTCAATGGTCTTATGGCACTCCACCACCGTCGGAAGGTCCACCAGCTTGGAAAGAAAGTGTGCGGTGGAAATAGGTATGGTAGGAATTTTCGTAATTTAGTAAAATTTTGATCGAGAAGACACTAATTAATTAGGCTATCCACGCAGCAGTTTGCCCTAAAACCTCAAAACTCAAAGTATGTGGATATGTAGAACGTAGATAGATACCTTTGCAGAGAGAGTAGTCCCATCCACCTTGACTGTAGCATGTCTCATGTCCTCTGTACGGATAGCAAGTACACTCTATTTAATGCACACCAGTGAAAGTGCAATTCCCCTGGGCTCACTCTTGAAGTCCAGTTGCAGCATCTCCCCCAGCTCGTCTCTCCTCATCGCCTCCTTCACTCGAGTCACCTCGGGCTGACCGAGAAAGAGAGGGAGCGAAGACAGGAGAGAAACAAGATCATACACACATTTACCAGTGTCTGACTGCTTGCCTCTGGGAGTCTGAGGATGAAGAGGTGCTCTGCGTCTGCAGACATCTTTAACTACACCTCAGATTATGCACCGACAGTCAAGACCATCAGCCATGAAGCGAGCTACATAGCTAGCTAGCTCTCTGCGCGACCGCACCGATCGACCGCTCACCTAGACTGAATGCGCATGCGCGTGTGCTGCAACTTGTTTCTAGCTAGCTAGCTAGCTGCAGGCTGTGTGTGAAGCTTGAGGTTGTGTTGTGTCTGCGGCGTCCGCGTGGCAGCACGTTTCCCTGCGCTGCTCCGGCTACCAGGAGAGCTCCAGGGAGCCGTTTCTTCAGAGGTGAGGCCAACTCCATGTCGTGTGGGACTAGGAAGACAGTCAGCGTGGTGCTCGCGTGCCGTGCGGACTGTTTTCTCCACGGGGACCAGTGTTTGCGTGTGCGAAACTATTCATGTTTCGGAGTTGTGTTTTCACTGGTTTTGTTTGCTTTGGCTCCGGGAGTTTCAGGTGTTGAAACTGTTTGTGTTGGCACGTTTACCTACAAACGTTTGTACGGAAACACCACGTAACGTCTAGCTAGTCAGTTGTTAGCTAGCGCTGCTCCAGCCGTTGCCAGGGGGTTGAGTGTTTTAGTTGAGAGTTGTGCAACACGAGACGTCAGCTGGAGGCCCGTGGGATGAATATGGAATGCAGCGATCGCCGACCCGTAGTCCGCGGGGAGTTGTAAGCCGTAGCTGGGGGAGTGGATCGCCACTGGAAAGGCTACCGGCTTGACGGGTTCCGACACGCATGCCCGGCCTTTTCTAGTGCTTCGACGCTCCACTAGACACGTCGAAAAAGAGCGCGTTGTGCGTTCGCTGTGGTTTTTGAAGGAGCTGAGTTTGCTCTAATCTCGCTAAGAGGCAAAGTGTGCGCAAGCCCTCCAAGTCAGCGGCAGAGCCGCGTGCTGTTGTCTAAACTGAGAATTAGTCCCAATTTTCATTTCTCCAAAAGACCCAGAGTGTGAGTTGTTCTGTTGTTGAAAGGATTTCTGAAAATACCTTTCCATGTGCCTGGGACTATGCATTGTTCGGCTGCATGTGTTGGGTCAATCCAGAGAGCTGTTGCAGTCCTGGAAGCAGCCCTAGTCTTTTGGGTCCTCTCTAGCTGCAGCTGTGTTCTATAGAGACTCTATGATGAGGGTAGGTGGGTGGTGCATGGCGGGCTGAGGAGCCAAGTGTCTAGCAATCAGCTGAGAAACCAGCTGAGCAGGTTCTGGACCTGGTTTACTGTATGTCTCTGAGTGAATGAATGATCAGCTTGGCTCTGGACATTCCATCTACTTCTCCAAATTGAGGGAATTTGCACTCTCACAATGGTGCCCACTGCCTAGAGTGTGTTGTGTGCCAACTGTGTAGTGTGCAGGCACAAGCATGCAGTCGAAGAGCATGTGTGGGTGGCTAGAGTAGAGAATGACCTCATCTCCCCTGGGGATAAGATTAGGGGGGAGTCCCCTGGTAATTACCCCACCTTTCCTGCAGGTGCCAATATTCATTCCGGAAGTTTCCAAGTAGCTCACACAGAGGACACAATGCCGTCGCTGTGCAAGTGTGTAGTTGTTACTGCCGGGGGGCGTCCCAGGGACTTGATTCAATATTGTGTCGTTCACAGGCTCTAGTGGTGTATCTAGTATGTACCTGCACGTTGACTGCTCTTGCATTCTAGACGAGTGAATTTGATAGGAGTTGAGAGTCACTCTCACATGGTGTCGTATTCTGAACCCTGGGAGGTGTGTGGGGAAAGTTAGGAATGAAGCCAGGCTGAAGCAACCAGTTGTGAACTGGTCTTTCAGGCATACCAGTCTGACTGCATTCCCTTCTCAAGTTACCACCTATCCTTCTCTTATTTCCCCTGCCATTAGCACTTGTGTGAAATCTCATAACTCTGTCACTTGTCCCTCTCTCTATCTCTCTACACACAGGAGTAAGACCCGCTGAATGACTGGAGGATCTGGGTCTGGTTCTGGTTCTTACACCAGCTCTGAAACCAGCTCTGAAACCAGCTCTGAAACCAGCTCTGACACCAGCTCCTATTCGTGTAAACTACACCACATATACATCTATATTATCTCTATCTCTGTATGGGTTTATGAGAACACATGCACGGGGAAACAAGCAGAAAACGTTTCACCGGAATTTCCCACCCCAGAAATATATTAAACTTACCAGACGGACGTCAAGCTCCATAGCCCTAAAATACACCGCCATACACAAAGTAGTGGCTATGGTTATGTAGAGAGGTGATCTGAGTCTCTCTCCTAACACACAGGTCACACAGTGTTCCCTACTCCTACCAACACCGTGCTAGTGAACATGGATGATAGAGAAGGAGAGACTGCCCTGGTGACCGCTAGTCTCGCCATGGCCGTCATGGCCCTCCTGTTTGCTCTGGTAGTGACGGTCATCGTTGCCGTCATGCTCTACTTCATCGTCAAACTGAGGAAGGAAGTAAAGAGTCTTCGCTACTCTGGTGAGCTCTCCCCTCTTCATTTGTTCTTTGCCGTTCTTTTTTTTTCCTGATCCTGACTACAAAATGGAGGCTTAACTGCTCATTGTCTGTTCTCACATGCACGATGTGCTTTCTTGAAGCTAACTTGTATTACAGTCTTCCTTGTCCGTCTTTCTCCATTTCTCTGTCTTATCGTCTCCTTGTCTCTGCCACAGGAGGCAGAGGAGGTGCAGTGGCAAAGGCAGAGAACGGATCGTCTCACCTGGTGGCTGTCAACATACTCAGTGATTCCCTACCCAACACGTGAGTGGCAACACAACAGTAATGTGAAACTAACACTACTTACTTGCATAACATCAGCTAGGGACCCTAACTTGGGACAGTTAAGTAAACTCACTACAGTAGCTGCGTTGGGGGACTTACAGTATAGCTGGTGGAGTCAGTAATATGGGAAGCGAAACTCCGTGCTGGCACTTATGCACTTACATTACTGATAGCTGCATTGGGAAACTGAAATTAAGTCTTTAATAACTACAATGGATAGTGTATGAGTCTCCAGCTGTACTAGGAGGTGGGAGGAAGATTTGTAGAGTGTGGGGTGTAGGTCTATCCCATGGCAGTCTGTGAATACACAGCTCGGTGTCCACTGATAGTGAGCCTGGTTTGATAGCGGCATATCCTTACATGCAGTACTGCATCTCCACATGGTATGTACTGTGACTGTGGTTTACATGTGTGGGTGACTGGTGTACATTGTCCTACTGACCGCGGTTCTTTGTCTCTCTATTGCAGGGACACAGGGGACGAGAGTTTGGACCGAAAACCCACACCCCTCCCCCCTCCCGTACAAACAGTGACCACACCGGACCAAACGATACTGAAACCACCACCGGGAGACCAAAACCAGGAGGACCACACCGCACCGGCTAGAGTCAACTCCCCAAGAGATGCATACGACAATATCAACCTGAAGACCAGCATTCTGCCGCCAGAGTTGAGGACGGAGGAAAACCTAGAGGGACGACTGCTGGACCTGGCCGAGGTGCGGCTGCTAGAGGAGGCCGAGCGGAGGAAGGAAGAGAGCTACGAGGATATAGAGATGAGTTTGAGGAGAAAGGAAGAGGCTGTGCAGCCGTGAGGGATATGGCCGTCGACCTCGCTAGGAGAAAGGGGGAGGGGTTGGATGACCTGTACACGAACCCAGCCGATGCCATTGCGGATGAGAAAGAAGAGGAGGCGGTGAAGACAGCGGCAAAGACAGCGTCGTTTAGGAAGAAGAGAAAAAGGGGGAAGGATTCGTCAGAGGGTGAGAGTGTTTCGACCACGGAGTACGAGCCTGAACTGTATACCAGTGTGTTTGATCATCTGCCGAGTGGAGAAAGAGAGGTGGTGGCTCATCCTCAGACCAAGACAGGCGGTAGAGGGAGGAGCAAGAGTCCCAGCCCCAGCCCTCACGGTGGGAGGAAAAACCTTGGAGTTGGAGTGGAGGAGGAGGAGAAGGAGGGGGGAAGAGGGATTTCTGTGGCTACGAGGACATAGAAGACGACGCGTTTGCACGCTCCGCTCCCGCCACGGAATCCCCTCTTCTCCAGGGAGGTGGAGAGCTGGATGACCCCGTGACCCCTCGCAGGGAGGGAAACGGGAAGACGGAGCTGGCGAAGAGATACTCGCACCCGGCGGACCCTCCCGTCGCGACCGCGAGGCAGCGAAGGAGATGGTGGAAGTGAACCCCCGCTCCAGGAAACCTGTGACCCTCTCCAGCGGCCGCAGGAAGGGGAAGCTGCAGCGAGACACCGAGGAGGCGGTGGACGGGGAGAGAACAATGATGTGACGATATCTAAATCGGCCGGGTCCAGCCCAAATAAGGCAAAGGAATTCACCATTCAGTCCGAGGGTGGAGATGGACCCCAGGACTCGTATGCCATGGTGGACGTGTCGGGCAAGATTCGTTATCGTGCCGAGAGTGACTCCATGAAGAGAGAAGGGAGTGGGGTACCAAAACACTACACCACGAAGCAATGTCCTCCGGAGGAGACGGATGACCCCACCCCAGTGATTGTGAACACCTGACCTCCACAATACAACTAGCTGCCAATGTGTGATTACACTACACGTCTATTATTATTGCCCCTTCGGTTGAGTTCTCCCCAAACCGTCATTTTATACCCATATTACCTCGAGGATCCGAGGCCTCACTCTGATTAGGTGGAATTTTATCATGATTGTTTTCATATTCCTTCATTCCTGTGTCAGTCTCTATTTTTGTGTTTTGCTGTTTCTCAGTTTATTTACTCCATATTCCATATGCTTTTTTTATCAGAGCTGCAGTTATTTCACTTTTACGTGTTTACGTGTTATTTGTGATCATAGCCACAGTTTCCGTGGCTGAGTGATAATATGCTATATATTAGTGTGAGTCATTATTGAGATTTTCATCAACTGGTCCTTAGAGATACGCAGAGCACAACGAAACCGCTGAGAGCACGACACATGAGATAAATTGCGATTCCTATACTTTTCTCCAAGAGGACCTATGGACTAGGTCACAAAACACGCACACCAACTTTTGGTTTTGATGTTTCAAGAATGCAATTCATTTTTTAACATTTGAAATGCTGTACGTGACGTTTACGCATGTGAATTTTGTAGTTGCAGACATCGACAATTTAGACTTGCTTGCTTGCCAATTGTATAATCTCCCCATTGTACAACATCCTAAAAAAATAATTTGGAGTGCACCTCGTTACCAAGTTGTTGAGACATGCACAATAGTTAGGAGGTGCAACTAAAAGTGTTACACAGTTCAAGGTGTGAGGTTGGTGAGGGTGGTGAGGCTAGTGGAGACGCGGAGGTGCCTACTTCAGAAGTGAAACACAAACATGACACAAAATTGTGTGTGTCTTACAAGGTCTTGTCATAGTATGCATCTCTCTGAGCAACTAGGTAACAGTTTCAACTACAATTTTTTGGGCAATGATGCCTGTGGCTGGTTGGTTGCAACTTAACCCCTCCTTTTTTTCAACCTGGCTTCTGATAAGCATATGTGAGGGGGCATGGGAAAAGGGGGCATGGGAAAAGGGACCTATATGGTATTCCAGCCATATAAGTCCCTTTTCCCATGCCCCCCTCACATATGTAAAACAGCTTGTCCTTATCCTGGCATTGCTCTCTCTCTCTATAATACTTCTCTCTTACTGCATGTTGGTCATGTAATAGTCAACACTGTCCAGTTATTGATGTCATGGTGTAAGACTCTTGCAACATCAGACTTGTCCACTTCACCCTTCCTTACAAACCTCTTGTATTGGTTGAGCCTGGTCGCCACATGTAGGTTTAGCCTTATAAAAAATTCCAGACTTGTCTATATGCAAGGTGTGATGTCTAATTGTGCTACTCTTCTGATATGCTCTGAATATGTATGTGGAGTCTCCCTGTGAAGACCCAACCTTTTAGCTGCAGGTATAAGACTGCTCCTGAGAGGGCTCCATTGCACACACCACCAACCTAAGTCCCTCTGAACGTTGCAGAATGCATTATGTGATGTTCAGAGAAAAAAACTTTACTCTCTGCATCTTGTTTGCCACCGGTGTACAACCTGTGTATTGCTTCACTATCATAACATCATTTCTGTGCCAGTGTCAGAGTTCCAACTCTAAGTTGCTTGCACGTCGCAGGTTGCTGAAGAGTATGATCATAGACTTATCAGAAATAATGATGAAGACCGGGACTTCCACAGAACGACAGATGGAGCTTTATACAGACTAGGCTGCGTGACCAGTAGACAAAGAACTACACGACCATACACTAAGACGCTTCGTGTGATTCTCTCGCGAGTGTGTTGCCTTATAGATAGCACAGAGACTTGTTGCAGATCCAGATCGAGAGTAAAGTGATGCCGGGACAGTATACGTGGTTGGCTCGTCTCATTTTCCGTTCATGTGCCTACAAAAAAATGCGAAATCGTTGACACACTTATATAGGGGAGACAGCCAAATTTGGGAGTGATAGGGATAAGTGCAGCGAGATGGAAGACATTTCATTCCATTCTCCAACTTTAGTCAAAGCATTAAGGGATAGTTGGCTAGTCTCATTTTCTGTTCATGTATATATATACCCACAAAAAATGCGAAATTGTTGACACCATTATTAAGGGGGACGGCAAAATTTGGGGATAGGTGCTGCATGATAGAAGACTCATTTGGGGGGACAACAAAATTTATGCGAGAAAGGGACAGAGATAGAAGACATTATTATTAGGTGACATAAGGCAGAGCACTTTCAGCCCAGATAGTTTCCAAGAGCATTTGGTTTCTCTGATCCCCTAACTTACATAAGGGCAACACCGCCCTTTTTTGCGGCGTTGATACGATGGGGCGTTAATCGGGTGCGCTAGTTTTTTGTGCGCATGCGCATAGAAAGTACATAAGTGCACGTCGTCTTCACGGCTTTATTCACTCGCTGCAGCTCACTGGAAAACAAACAATGAAGCTGGGCTGGGCTTGTATTTTGCTTACGCTTGCTCAGGCTGGGCTGGGCGACATTGTAACACAGTGCAGTGATCCGGACGTTACGGCCCTCAGAGACACACTTCGCCAGTCAGCGTGCAAGCTTGTTCCAGGCCGAGGAAACGACACCCAGACGCAGATCTTCCGAGAGAGTGTGTATAAGAAGCATGGTCAACAAAGTAAGTTTTCCAGGGGTACGGCGTGGACGACATCCGTTTTCTTCCTTCGCAGATATTTTGTCTCCATTCTTCGCTTTTGTAAGCCTCTTCCGACCTAACCCAGCTCTGGTGTGGTGCCGCTCTCCCTGCTCGCTACGGTCTGCGAACATCACGTGGTGCATCAACATCGCCTATCTGGACAGGGTTGTGGAGACGTGCGTCAGGCTGGGGGAGGATGGGCAGATTGTCACTAACAGCACCTGCGAGGCGGAGCTGGTGGGCGTCCCAAGTGTACTGGACCTTCCCTCAGTAAGCTCAACATGTTGTGACCAGCCTACCCCCATGCAAATGACACCCGGTGTCTGCAGGTTTGTACGTTTGCAGGAGACACTGGGTGTCTTTCCATGGCCAACCTGGACTGGTTCTATGAAGGCTCTCTCATGACCTGCACCGTTGAGTCAGAGACCTGCAGCTCTAAGTCTTTCACAACTCTGCTCACCACAAGTTAGTCTGCAGGAGCCACTATATCACTCACTGACTCTCCTCCCGCTACAGGTGGCATTGCTCAGCTGCCAGAGTTCGAGCTCTTCCCTTTGTCTCCATTCAACATTCTCACCAGCAACCAGGTGGTCCTTCACGTAGAGCTCAGTTCTCCAACGGAAAGGATCACTGTAATCTGGCAACATAGAGACACTCTTCACAACCAATTCATCTATGAAGATCCTTTTTGTGTCAGTCTACACGAGGCAAGTTGTGTTTGCGACAGCTTGGGCTCCAGTAATTTGTGTCTGTCTTTTTTTAGGAATGTCAGAATGACACTCACCCCGGAGCAGTACTGTTGCGGCAGGAGAGGATCAGAGCTTACCGCACCACTCGCGTCGTGGAGTTAGATGGTTGTCAGGCCAGTTTCTTCTATCGCCTAGAGACCTACCTCATAATTGACAATGCAACTGCTGAGGACAGTGGTGAATACATTTTCAATTTGACTGTTACCCATACAGGATCCGATCCTATCACTGTTGCTCGCAGTGTCAATGTGTCTATCAGTAAGTGACCTCCTTCTCCCAGGTGTCCTCTCCAGCTAACACCTCTCAATACAGGCTGTGAAAACCGCCCTCCCGATCGAGTCAACTGCAGCAGCCTCTCTCCATCCGTGTACAAAGGAAACAACAGCTATTGGGAGTGTACTCTAACTGACCATCCCGGAGCCAACCTCGTTCTAGTCTTGAACAAGACCACTGTCCTCCAGCCTAGCAAACCAGGCACCACTTGCAGGAACCGCTCTGAAGTGGTCTTCTACGTGGAGCCAACACCGAAGCACACCTGCTACAGCAAGTTCAAGATGGTGGTGTTTGTCTGCTCAGCCGACTACAGTCTGGTGGGGGAGTACAGTGTGAGGAACAGCAGTGGCCACCGGGCTCCTGGGAACTCTGTCTTTGTGAAGGTGGTGGAGGGGCAAACTATCCCCAACTCTCATGGTTCCTTGAGTGGTATGTCTGTGTTCCACACACTCTCTCCCTGCTCAACAGGGTTCTCCTTAGAGCGCGTAAGCACGGCGCAGTTCCGCGCATTAGCTAGCACCCCCCACCCACACAGGGTACAGTGGGTCCTGGTTAATATCATACCCACGGTGAAAAATGATAATAATATGCCGGATATTCTACAATGCGGGTGTGTATACTGTGTATACCAATGTATACTTTGACCCAGATAGCACACAATGCAGTTTGTTTAGCTAAGCTAAGCTAGCCTAGCTGTTTACTAATAGCCCAGTTGCGCGTTAGGCAAAGAATTATTTTAATCCCGTGTGACGTCATTCCCGGTTGCTCCTGGTGGCCAGGAAAATGTATTGCAGTGAACGGAGAATTGTGCTTAGACTGATGATTTTATTTCCCAAGAACACCTAAGCTAAGTCCACCTCTGTTACTGTGGTATTTTTTGCGCATGATCGACCATCCATGGCTTCGGGCACCCACTGAGTGCATGAGCAAAGCTACATTCCAGTTATGTAATAATTTGTACAATGGCATACCATTTCCATGACGATTACATGTTTCCATGACGACCACATTGTTTGAAAAGCCTCAGGCACTTTTATTTAAAATTACTTCTTCACTCCTCAAACTTGCTAACTGTAGCACGCATGGAGGTGAAACTTGGTGCGCATGTTGTGTATTGCATCGTTTCGTTCGGACAGGACAACACGGTAGTGACAACGAGCTCCCGCAAGCTATAGGAGCTTCCTCCGCTCATTAACTCCCGTTTTTTAGAACACGTGCTCCGAGTGTTTTTTTATAGGGAGAACCCTGGGTCTGGGTCTGGTTCTGGTTCTGGCACTGGCACCAGCTCTTATTCAAGTATGTTTGAGTAAAATACACCATAATATATACATCTATAATATGTCTATACCTCTATCTCTGTATGGGCATACAACACATGTACACATATGGGGGGAAATTAAACACCCAGAATTTGGTAGCAAACAAGCAGAAAAGTTTCACCGGAATTTCCCACCCAAGAATTTTATTGAACTTTGCTTCCATAGCCCTAAAATACACCACCATACACAAAGTAGTGGCTATGGTTGTGTAGAGAGGTGATCTGAGTCTCTCTCGTAACACAGGTCCCACGGTTATCCCCACTCCTACCAACACCGTGCTAGTGAACATGGATGATAGAGAAGGAGAGACTGCCCTGGTGACAGCTAGTCTCGCCATGGCCGTTATGGCCCTCCTGTTTGCTCTGGTAGTGACTTGACTACTTGCCAATTGTATAATGCATCCTAAATAGTTAAAAAAATAATTTGGAGTGCACCTCGCTACCAAGTTGTTGAGACATGCACAATAGTTAGGAGGTGCGGCTAAAAGTGTTAGGTGTGAGGTTGGTGAGTGTGGTGAGCCTAGTGTTGACGTGCCATTGTGAAGGAGGGGGGAGGGGCGGTGATCCTCCGATTGACCTCGGCACAGTATTTCTCTGGTATACCGACAGCTCGGAGCTCTGCCAGCTTCCTCTGTTTGATCTCATCCAGTTTACGACGCCTGCACACACACCACACACACCAAGGGGAAGTTAACGAGTCATTGAAAACAAAAGTGGCGTGTACAACAGGAGACTGTGTATGCAATAACGTTGCCGAGAACAGAAAGTGTTCACCGTGTTAAACAAAACAAAGACAAAACCTCTTCTTCTCCCCTCCATTCCATCCTCCCCTCTCTCCCTCTATCATTTCCTCTTCCTTCTCTTTCTCCTCCCTCTCACTTCCCACACACTGCCCTACCTCACCTCTCCCTGGCTTCCTGATCCAGCTTGATCCCCTCCTGGAAGAAGGCTCTGCGAGCGGAAATCACCTCCTCTTCCTTCTCCTTCACCTGCTTCTTCACCTCTCTGGCGTGCTCCTGTCGTCTCTTCAGTGACGACTCCTGCTTCCTCTTGTCCTGTTGCATCATTTCCTGTTGTGCCCTGCATGTGAGAAACAATAGCTCACACTTACAGGTAAACTGGATGTAATAGTCAAATTCGTACCATGGGGATACTAGCAATACATTATGGGAAACAATAACCGGTCTGCACGTGACTTTTTAACACATGTAAACTTTGGATGACGGGTTTTGTGGCCCTCTCGTGATTGCGCAATTGGTTAATAGACTGGTGCGTATTTGGCGGAATGTGAAAGAAAGTGTGGGGTAAGGTACATGACGCTGTCTAGAGTGTACCAGGTGCCTGAGAAGTGAGGGAAGTAGTGACACGGTGAGACTGTAGTGACCTGAGAACTCTGTCAAACTCTTCGCGGTCTCTCTGTGCCTGGACTGCCAGGAAATGCTCCTTGTGGTGGATCTGGTCCTGCCTCGACTGCATCAACATCTGCTCCATCGCTGCCCTACATCACACAGAGTCTCACACAATGCATACACCAATGTTTTTGGAAGCACAGGCCCGAAAAAAGGTTGAAAAACACAACAGTTATGCAGTTGTTACAAGAAACTTGTGCATATACTGAATTTCAACCCCCTGCGACACAATACAAAAACATTTCCAAGTGTGTGTGCACTACTGCTAATGCCAGCTACATGCTCACTTCTTCTCTGCCTCCTCTTTCTGTTTCCTCCTCCACTCTCTCTCAAACGCCTCCTGTCGTCTCTTGGCCTTGACACTGTCTTTCTCGGCCTGCGTGTCCTGGGCCCGCTCCTGCTGGGCCCTCAGTCGAGACAACTCCATCTCCTTCTCCTGCTTCTGCTTCTCCTGCTCTCGCGCCAACTCCTCCTCTCTTTTCTGAGGGGGGAGAGGGGGAGAGAAGGGAGGGGAGGGGAGGGGGAATTAGAGGACTTTTTTGCAGAAGAAGGAGCTATAAAGGGTAGAAGACTACCATAATGGGTGGTTTAACATGTGTGTGTGTGTGTAAGTTCTACAAGGTGTGTACGTGTGTACAGACCTCTTTCTCCTGGAGGTATTGCATGAGTCGCATATCCTCCAACTTCTGTTGCTCTCTCTGCATGTCCTTCTGTCTCTGGATCTCCTGCAGCAGTCCGCAGACAAGACAATAGCAAGCTGTGTGCATATGTCGTACTCTACCGCTGAGAAGAACATTCCACCTCATGTATACGTCAACATTTTGCCCAAAATATCTGCCTCCCGACAAGCTACTCGACGTCTTGAGTTTAAACACAAAACTGAGCCTTGCACATTCTTTTAGTTTTTGCAGTAGACTGAAAAAAAACCTGTGTGCAGTGTGTAGAAGGCTCCATTTCTAATGTGACGTGCTCACACGTTAGGCACCGTAAGATTCTCAGAAGCTACGCAGTTATAATGGAGAGAGAGGTAGAGTGGACTCACATCGTTGCACTTTGTGACCTCCTCCATGAGGTTCCTCTGAGTCTCCCTCTTCCTCTGCAGCTGCTCCATGTCCTCCTCCCGGAGTTTCTCCAGGTAGCGGAGCATGGACGCCGTCTCTTGGTCCTTCTTCTCCAGGTCCAGCAGTCGCTGCTGCTCCCTCTCTGAGATCTGGGACCGTATTACCTCCACCCCTCTGACACACACAGAGAGAGAGAGAGAGAGAGAGAGAGAGAGAAGGTGAAGGTTAGTTGAAGAAAAGGAGCTCAAGTGGTTTTGCTCCACAAACTATATACACTTTCCGTCACATCTATTTCCTCTCTCGAAAGTTTCTTGCTATAAAGTGTACGTCAATAGCATTAAGACTATAGAGTGAGTTAATACATAAGCTTAGCTCACGTACTTGAGTCTCTCCATCTGCTGGTCTTTCTCTGCAATGTGGAAAGACGCACATGTACAACACCAGTCATACAGTTCTTGTTCAGCGGCCCTCTCACCTTTCTCCTCCGCCTCTCTGACACTCTTCACTCTGTCCACCTCCATCATGGCGTCCAGTCGTACCTACAGTCACCACAGGTAATCAACAGCTCTAACAACAGGGTCCTCCCCCCGCACCTCCTCTTCCTGCATGGCCCTCAAGATCTCCTCTCTCTCCCTCAGCTGGGCATCTCTGATGGCGTGGCACTTGGCATTCAAGATGGCCTCGTTCAGTTTCTTTATCTCGTCCTCCTGCTCTGCCAGTTGGGCCCTGGCATTGGCCAGCAGGTCCTTAGACTGCTCCTTTGCCTCCTGAGGTTGGACCACACTCTCTGTGACAAACAGCCTCATTCCCTCTTCCTATTCCCCCCTCTCACTCTCTTGCACACAAACTAGGCTGAGTATAGAATGAGAACACACTTTCTAAAAAAAAACTCGTAGAATGCCTCAAAAATATTTTCACTGCAACCTAAGAGGTGATTTTCTGGTTCATATGCAAAGTTTCATTTATTCTGTTAACTCCGCTTTTGTATGCATGCCAAGGTGAAGTTATGAACAATCTATGAGGGACCTGTTCGAAGTCAGAAGGCTTCTCGTTCTGCTTCCTCCTCATCTCCAGTTCCTGCATCTCTCTCTTCCTGGTGGAAGATGCCTTCAGCCTCTCCTCCCTCTCTGACTTAATTCTCGCCTCTCTCTCCCTCCTCACTTCCGCTGACAACACCTGCGCTCTTTGCTGGGGGACAACAGAGTTTCATTTCAGGGAAAAGTCAGAGAATTTCGTTCAGAGTCTCTCTTTAGTTCAACAGGATGGCCTAGTTGTCATAAACTTCTCTGTGCTGTCATTCGAACCTAAAACTTTATGTTGGTGGTGGTAAGTGTGGTGGTGTTGCTGCTCACCCTGATGTTGTCCAACTCTGTCTTCTCCAGTACAGTAGAGAGTCCAGAGGGATCTGGTGTACCAGGTACCCTGCGCATCATAGACTCAGTCTCACCCTCTCTTTATATAAACTTTCTCCTCTCTCTTCTTGCCCTATATTCCGTTTATTCCCCCCCCCCACCCTCTCCTCTCCCTCATCTCCCTCGTTATTCTACATAATTATGTATATATATACACTGTCCCCTTTTCCTTCCTCCTTCTGTACTCATCTCACTCTCTCCTCTTCCTACCCTTACTTGATCTTCCTGATGAAGTCTCTGGTGATGATCTCCACTACGTCAGGGTCACTCCTCCCCCTCCTCCCCCTCCCCCTCTCCCCCTCCCCACTCAGCACCGATGGTCTCCCGTCAGACAAGGATGGATCCCACGACCTGTTGCCACACATCTGCTGCAGCCTCGCTGGAGGTCCAAACAAACTCTCGTCCTGTGCAATTTGATATTATCATGAACACTATTACATTCACTTTTGATATGCATTCAGACCTGTTACATTGAAGTGCAGTATAATGTAGTTTTTAGCCATGCTACTCTATAAAAAATGTACGCACTTAGCTACTAATGTACTGCATCAGAGGGGTCTGTAGCTATAGCACTAAGGAACAAAGATCGTTCACTCACCACATTGCCAGATCTATTGACAAGCCTCTGTTTCTTGGCCTTGTGTGTCTTGAGAGTCACACCGCTAGCAGCCTGCGGGGAGCCACAGTTTGCTTCAGCTTCTCTCGTTGGCATGCAAAGAAATCTGCTCACCATAAGAGGTCTTCGTTGCAAAGATCAGTGACTACCGAGGAGGAGCTCAACGATCTACCGTAGTGACTTGCGGCAAGAAAGAAACGATCGCTTGATGTCCGTGCACAAGAAAGCAAGCGTGAAGCCGGCGACCGTCGATTTGTTGAGTAAAAGTCGTTACCATGACTACATTGGTCACATGATACTACGCAATGAGCACGTGCGTGAGACTAATGACGTCACCAGTGAAGGCGCGCCTGCGTACAAAATGGTCTTCAACCGTGATCCTCTGGGGATAGCGAGCTCCGTGTGCGTCTACATCCTGCTCCTGTTCGGTGACTACGCCATCGTCTATCATGTCCTGGAGTACGGCCAGCACGAAGGGTACGGTAGAGTCAAAACTCCATAGGTTTCTCTAATTAGTCCCCACCATGGGCGTGAATATGCATCTAGCAAACGGGCTGTAGGCTGCCAAGCGCGGCCTTACCCCTTCTCCGACCTCTCTCTGCTTTCTCCCTCTCTCTCTACAGTCTGGGCAGATCATTTGGAGCTCTGCTGTCCCACTGTCTGTTTGCCATGTCCATTGTCTGTCATCTCAGAGCTTCTCTCACTGACCCTGGTGAGCAGTGGGACTCATATACCACTCCCTCCACTTGGCCTCCTCCATGCACTCCCTACTTATAGCATGCAGAGCCCACACTTTATACCATGGTCGGTGGGGGAGGGTAGGTGTCCAGTTGAGGTATATTAGTGGGCCACCCCATATGTAGTGTATAGTGTAGCTCTGGCCTGGGAAGGGGGTGGTACAGTATAGTATAGACTAAAGTGTGTAATGTACTACTGCTGTAGTTGTGTATGTGTCGGTGTTGATGAGGGTTGTGCTGGCTGCAGGGTACGTTCCCCTCTCCAAGACAAAGATAGACTTCTCCTCAGACCTGGAGAAGACGGAGTCGGGACAGAAGAAGAAGAAGAAGAGAGTAAGACACCGTCCACTATAAGATCTAATACTGTACTTGTTGTTGATATTGTTAGGAGCCACCTCCCATTGGTGAGTGGACAGTTTGTCACAGATGTGAAATATACAGACCTCCCAGATCACACCACTGCAGGTGAAACACGCATATATTTTCCTCCAATCTCGACGGAGAAACATCTTCAAATTTGATACCTTTATAACGTTTTCTGTTGGGGAAAATCTACTCGGTTGCAATAGTTCTTCTCCTTACTAGTGCATGTGTATGTGGTTTTGTTTGTGCAGGAAGTGTGGTAGATGTGTGAGGAGAATGGACCACCATTGCCCCTGGTAAGCCCCCTCCTCCTAGATCCCTCTTCACCATCATCCTCCCCTCCCTCTCTCCACAGGATCAACAACTGTGTGGGGGAACTCAACCTGAAGTATTTCTTCCTCTTCGTCATGTACTCAGGTAGCTACTTCTGGTGCTCTCTATTATAGGCAACCTGTTCTTCTGGGTCACAGTTGGGAATATCTATATTCTACCTGATGTGTGTGTATAGGCTTTAGCCTATTTGGCATTCCTGAGATGATTCTAGTATCTCAGCTAGTCACTATGACAGCAACTATGCAACCACACACCTAGAGTAATGGGTCTTTACTGTCTTCTTTCTCCTATCAATTTCCTTCTGTCCACACACCCTCTCTCTCTGTGGTAGGTTTCCTGTGTCTGTATGCAGCAGTACTGATAACAGTGGAGTGGCTCTGGAATAGAGAGGAGTCGGCCCAGGACTCCACCACCGACAAGTACATACACTCACATGACTGTCATGTGGTTGTCGTGTGATCCAATCTCTACCTGTAGGGTGATCACTGTGATTGTGTTCTTCGAAGCAATGACGTTTGGTCTGTTTATCTTAGTGGTGGGCTCGGGGCAGGTGAGCACTCTGTGTGTATAGTTTCCACGAAGTAAATGAGTATACTAAGGAGATATCCATTGTGTCTTGATACCTATTCATCTGTCAGTGCATGCACCTGATATTGTAAATGTCCGTGAAAAATTGCAGCATTCTCTCTCTCTCTCTCTCTCTCTCTCTCTCAGACGGTGGCAGTGTTGTGTGATCGTAATGCCATCGAGATCAAGAGGTACGGCCATCCAATGGGGTTCCCCAAGACACCCAAGATGGCCCTGGTTCAGCGGTCTGCGGAAGAGGTCTGTTATTACAAAGTTGGCAATCAATTAGGGACTTCCCTTCGTTATAACTTCCCTCAACAACTGTGTATAATTTATGCACTGAGTATTAGTACGACTAAAAACTATGCAGTATATATGCACTGGACTTTTCACCAAACTGAGCTGAAACTAACTGCCTTCCTGTGGACTTTTTGACGCACATTCATGTATCTGCAGGTCCCAGACTTCTGTGGCTGTTGCCTTGTATCAGTCCCCGTATTCCAGACCCTGTCCCTCCAGCCAAACTCTCCACCAATCTCTTCAACGGCCTGGTTCAGACTGTCTGAGTCTCTCTCTCTCATGCATTCCTCCCTCTCTCAGTCTCCGTGTTCGTCTATTAATTTTCTTCTGTCACCTTTTTTATGTGGATCAAGCAACGTTTTTGTCATAAATCGTATGTTTGCGCGCATGCGCACGCAGTGACGATATGCGCGCGCCGTCGAAAGCACGGCGCTTGCGCGCGCGCGCGCATATATATAATAATATATATGCACAGCCTAGCCTCCCGCGGCCCGGCGCCGGCCGGCGGGCGGGCTATATATAGAGCTCGAGAGAGCTAGCGCGCGAGCGAGAAATTAAGCGTGGCCGGCTCCGCGCAGGCTTCCGCGCGCTCGAATGCAATCACCAACGTTTGATAAGTTACACTAGCCGACATACAATAGTTTACACAGACATTCAGTTATTGAGAAAGAGTGCAGGATTTTTCTGTAGCCAAGTCTCTCTCCCTTGCCTCCCACAATGCACATCCACACAAGTCACCAATCTCTCCCGACTCCCACTCTGGTACACTGGCACCGAGAGACACTCCTCTGGGGGGTAGGGGGGCGGAGCTTCACTCGTCACCCAGGCAACCGTGCATGGTGGCATGGCAACCACACTAGGGGAATCATGGCTGTTCTCAGTGAGTTTGGAGCCGTCAAACGAACATCCTTCCAACTGGACCCCAGCAATCTATAAGGGCAAATAAGTAGCTAACACTTTTGTTGTAGGAGCTATAGCTGACTAACTTTGATTGACAGTTTAGTAGCTGGGATTCCGGTTGGCTTCCATGAGCACACCAACTTGAGACTGTCCATGCTACACTTCATTGCTCTGACACACAGAAATAGGCCGCCATTACACGGTGAAGATGTGTGACATCTCAGCAAACCTGGCAGTCTGCTGTCTGAGTGCATTGAGGAAGGTGTCGGGATGGAAGAGCTCAGAGAGGTCCAGAGTGTCCTGGAGGACTCTGCCCTCCCTCCCTCTCTCCTCCCACACCCCCAGAGCCAGGGTCTTGCCCACCAGAGACCTCAGGTAGAGAGCTGGCTCCTCCGGCCCCTCCCATTCTCTCAACCACGACACTGGCACCTGGATAGCAAAGTGGGAGGAACGCTCATAGACCATCAGTAACTACTCCACCTATAATGCAACATTTGATGTCGTTCATTCTTTGGCAGTGACCATAGCAAAAGCATGAATCGATGTAACAATGAATCTAGTCAGGGCAGGATGCAAACTGGTAGGAATGTGGGTTGATTTCCAATCATCCCCACCAGCTTTGCACCCAGGTCTGTTACAATGATGTAACATGCAAACACTCGCACACGAGGATCCTATGTCATCCCGCAAAGACACAAACAAACCACACAATTCCCTCACCTCATGTCTGAGCAGAGCTCCAGCCAGTCTGTGTACGTCAGTAGAGAGGAGTGAGGATCCTCTGAGGACTCTGTTGAGACTGGCCAGACTGGAGTGGACCTTCTGGACCAGCCTCACAGCGTTGAACCTCTCCAGAGAGACAAAGGCCAGCACTGGGGACTCCAGCTTGTCTGATGGTGGAGACACCTTCTTGGTGATCAACTCTGAGCCCTGGGGGTGGAATTCCACACAACCGTAGATTATTGAAAATAGTGGAAATATGCAAGTGTATGATGTAACCTGATTGAGTTTCTTCCAGAGGTTGAGCAGAGGTGAGAGTTCGGCAGACCACACCTCCCTATCAAATCTCTCGGCACTGCCCTCTGCTCTGGCTACAACTCTCAACTGACTCAGAACCTGCAGCAACCACCACCACCAGTGCCAAATGGCATAAGGTATATACATACACCCAGAGAGGCACTTTTTAAAAAATAAGCACGGTATTATCGTTGACATACACCCCATCACAATTAATGTAACACAACCCACACAGACCTTGGAGCTAATGGTTCTCTGCAGAGACTGCTCAATGTTGGCAGGGAGACCAAAGAGGGCATGGCTGTCAGTGTCAGGGAGGGAGGAGATGAGAGAGAGGTAGTCCCGCCTCACGTGGGACACAGGGAGAGATCCACACGGCAGAGCCTTCCCTCCACCTCTCAGTGGAGACATATTCTATGGAGGATTCATGACAGGGGAAGACTTATCCTCAGCATTTTTATTGCAGACATAGTAAGTAAGTAAAAGTTAATGCTATGCATACTTAAAATCCATAAAACTGTTTTAAATTGGGCTCTTCTGTATTTGCATTGTTGTGCTTGTGGTTAACACTAAATTATTAATGGTATTCACAATGGTTTGGTTCCCATGGTAGTGGTAATAGACTCACATGTCCAGAGAGGACGGTGCTGTTGAAGAACTGCACCAAGTAGGATGTGAGCACTCGCATGTCATAAGTGTTGTCAACACGACCTCCGTATATTGCGTTCTCCATCAGCCCATGCATAAAGTCCCACTGAACAGTCTCTGTATGAAGAATAAGAAGTTGGTCAAACACAACCAGAGCTACGAATATCTGAACACCCCTTCCTTTACTTGCTTGTCCCACAGTATAGTTTTGGCCAACCGTGTAACAATTGTACCTGATGTGTCACAGAGTCTGTCAATAATGCTGGCCCCAGCCCTCAGGTCAGAGAGAGAAAACTCGTAAAACTTGGACCAGCCCTGTGGGATGAGCATACGGCGCTCCTGGACCACTGCGTGGAACCATGCCAGGGCAAACAGAGCCTGGGCCCGGACGGCAGAGTGGCCCTGCTCCACGTAGTCCTTGGTCCACGACTCGTAGGTCCTCTGGAGGTTCCGTTTGACGCCGGGCGGAGCCTCGTAGGTGACTTTGAGACTGGACTGGAGGAGGATGGGAGGAAACTTGGGGTGGGTCTCTGTGGTCAGCCACAGTCGGAACCGCTCGTGGGGCTCCAGACTGTTCAGCTCCTTCTCCAGAGATGGCAGCCAACCTAATGGATAGCGAACACACTTCCAGACTCACAAGCTGTTCCATCTTATTCATAGTTCCAGGAAAAACACATTTTGGGGAAGTTGCTTTTATTCTGTAACACTGGTGTTTTGAGCTATTCATATGCACATTATACAGAGAAGGTAAGTGCAAGTGCATGGTATTACGTATGACCGTACTGGTGACAAGATGTAGGTTCTTGAGACAGAGCCAGTCTCCATTGATGGAGGAGTCTCTCAGTAGCCGCAGAGCCACATCAGCCTGGCCTTGACCCATTGCCACCTGCATTGACACACACAGAGAATTTCACACTCTGCCTTTAGTCACAAATCTTGAAATAAAAATCAACTGCACCTGGTGAAATCTCTCCCCTCCCACCACACTCTCTGCCAGCTCCTGTATCTCCTGAGAGGGGTCTGCCCCTGGGGATATTATCACCAATACTGGCTCCGTGGCCAGAGTGTCCACCTCGTAGAGTCTACGGAGGTTGAGGGTGGCTGGAGACATCTCCTTGAGGCTGAGAACCCGCATGGCAAACAGCTCCATGGCCGACTGTAAGCGATCGGGTCGCAGTGCCTTGATCACCAGCAGCTGCTGGAAGGCGGTGATCTTCCCCACTGCAAGATGAGGAAACTCTCTCTCGCAGTGAGGGTGCTTCACAAAGGCCGACCAGGCGTCTCTATTGTGGAGACCCAGACTGGAGTAGAGGCTGGGGAAGTTTGACTTGATGTGGTTGATCTCCACGGCCTGTTCCTGGCTGCACCATGAAGGAGCGCTCTCCTTCATCTGCTTGATGCTCTCCTGGCGTCGGATGGTGCCTGCAACCAGCTGGCCGGTGAAGGCCTCCCATTCGTTGGGCTGGAATAACTGGGGCTGCATCCCTTGAGCCAGGTGGAGCGCAAACATGAGACGGTCCGCCTTGAAGAGGGAGCGACAGACGTACTCATACACCAGAGTCTGCATGGTGGAGGTGAGTGTGCGGATCCTCAGATCAGTGTTTCCGATGTCCTGCTTGCTTGGAGGGCCCTCTGGAACAGGCGAAGGAAAGATGAGAGACTGAAGCTGTACATGTTGTTGAGTTTCGTGAGGTCGCTTATGACAAAGTACAGCATGCTACCAAACTGTGCCAGTGGAAGGTAACTGTCTCTTTCCTTGTCTAGAGAGGCCTGAAGCTCTTGTGATTCTGCAAGGGAAGTAGCGATGGTCAAACTCTTTGCCTTTGTCTCATTGAGAGAGTGAAGCAGAGCTTTGTTCTCCAGAATATTTCCCTCTGCTGATGCAAGTTCTTCCAAGAGAGATTCCTCGAGAGATGACAGTTGGACTTTCAGATCTTCCTCTGCCTTCAGCAGCTCTGTCTTCCTCTGTTCAAGATCAGGTTTCTCATTCTGGATGGTGGAGGCAAGCAGCTGGGCTCTAAGACCAGCTCTGGTTGTGGTGAAGTTGACCTTTGACACGACACTGTCAATGTCAGGAGGGATGACTGGTTGAGGGTCACGAGTGGTTAGAAACAGACGGAAGTCTTCGTTGTAGTCGATCACCTTATCTCCGACCTGAACCACGAAACGTGGACCCTGGCTCTCGAGGTCTCGACGGACGAGAGGATAGAGAAGAGGGCTCCACTCCATCAACCTCCTGAATTACCAGGGTCTTCCCAAACCTCACGGCCAGCTCCAGAGCTGTGGTGAAGTTAGAGTCCTGTTGGTTGATGACCTCCAGCCGCGCGTCCTTCAGATGGGTCTTGAGCCACTCGGTTGCTCGCTGGGAAGGGTCTATGAGAAATGGAACCAGCTCTCCCTGCACTATCATCAGTGCATTCTCCATGCTGTACATCGTCCGACGGAAGACCTTCGGCTTTCCACTTGAGCTGCTCACTCTCTGTGCTCAGGAACTGCCGCAGGTTAAAAGACTCCAGTCCTGTGGTCTCGACCCACTCAGCTATCTTGGTTCTCCTCTCATCCTCTGGTGACTTGCTGAGGTACGTTATGAACCCTGCTGCAAGAAGACTTTTCCATGGAAGTTGCTTCAAGTCCTCGTCCAACTCCCCAACCTGGTCAGACCATCGCCTATGTTCACCTTTGAGTTTACCGACCAGGTTTCTCAGCTGCCGAAATGATCTCTTCTTCTTTTTCCACTTCAATGCGAAGTTTTGCAGCCTCTGTGGTCAACAGCTCGAACCTACCCTTCATCTGCTGGACGTTCTGGTCCAGTTCTTCCAAGACTCTCGCCAGCTTTCCCAGCTTCTTCTCTGAGCCTCTATGTTCTGGCTCAGAGCGGCTTGCTCAGCCTCGAGGGGACCGATCTTTCAGAACGTACGAGAAACGGACGTTTGCTTTGACCCACGCAGCGAGGGGAACGGCAGCAGCACTGGCCCTCTTGGCTGAGGCTTGCTCGAAAGAGTGCTTCTTTGTGTGGAGGAGCTCTTGCACATTCTCTCTTATCTCGGGAGTTATTGCCCGCGAGTCAAAGTTCTTTATCTCTTCCTTGACTCCCCTGCGAGCCAAGAAGCTCCTCATGCTGCCCCAGGTGGTGTCCAGGACACCCATGATTCTCAAGACTCCCTCTAGAATGTCCCTGATCACCTCCGGTGGGGCACGCAGGGCTCTGATCTCAGAGAGTCTCTTGCTTGATGTTACCCACTGCCTGTTTTGCCTCTCGAACGAGCGGCTCGATTTCAGACAGCTCAATGTCGATTGCCTTCTTTCTCTTCTCCAGTTTGATTCTCTCTTGAGACATTTGCTGTGTGAGGTCCTCCATCTTTCTCTTCTGGTCCGTGGCACTCTGCATGCTGACTGTTATCTCCTGCAAGGCTGCATCTGCTCCCTCCTGTTTCTCGGCAAGCAGAGTTCGCTGCTTGGCTGCCTTCCGTTTCAGTTGGTCAACGAGCGAAGTTGCTTCGTTTAGTTTCGAGACACCAGCACGTAGTCGAGTCTGTTTCTTACCTATGATCTCTTTGTGCTTCGAATACACCGACTTGTAGGTCTTGAGGAATGCGATGTAGCGTCGCGGTGTGCCACCTGACGGGAGACACGACTGATGAATCTTGAGAAAAGTCTTCACCAAATCCTCTCCCCCGGTGATGGGTCTCTGAGCTACCTCTGCTTGTCTCAGGAGCTTCATGCCCACGACATTCTGGAGGAAGAGTCGGGGGATCCTCTGCATGCTCTGACTGGACCACCCCTCCATGGACTGGAAGGCACAACGAGTGTAGAAGGCAGGATTGGCCTTGCAGTGGACTGTGAAATCATCTGCCTTTGAATCCATGATGAGGACCACGTGTAGGTTGGTCCTGACTCGGTGGGCAAAGTAGCTGAGCAAAGTTCCCCTGTAGCCTTCCTCTGACATGGCGTCTCTCAGAGGAGATAGGAGAGACTCCAGTTCCTCTGGGGAGAAGAGCCCCGGGACCTCTCCAGAGCTGAGGAGACTGTTGACCAGCTCCAGGTATGTAGACTCCAAGACCTGGTGGTCCTCCAGCAGGTACACCACCTCCCTCCCCTCCACACCTGCTACCTGCATCACCTGGGGAACAATCACATACACATCCATTTGCTGTGTCTTGTTTGAAATCCTCAGGACAATCCTATTCGTTGGGGTAAACTTGCATGGTATTGCATTAGGTATTGGGTGTCTAAGGGGTAGAACATTTCAAAGGGACTAATCTTCCACTATATCCTACTTAGACAGGTATATTATAATTGACGGTTATTAAGAGGTACTTACACTTTTGAGGTCATTCTTGAAGGTCTTGAGAGTGTAGCTGCGGGAGATGTGGGGTGTGGTGATCTGTAGCTGGTGCATGTGGGCCACCAGTCGCACAGCCGTCCGTCTCCCAACGCCACTCTGCCCACTCAGCAGCAGAGATCCTCCGGGGGAGGTGAGGACTCTGTCCACTCGCGCCATGTGTTCCAACACCTCTCGAAACAGGAATATGTCGAGTTCTATGTGTTCACGACCTGAGAATAGAGAGACAGAAAACGGTTCACTCCTGTACACATGGTACAGGGAAATGTGTACCATAAGATATGATGGCTTTGGCGACCATTTCTTCCATGTCTGCGCAGGCTAATCGACCGAGCTTTCGACCAAAGGAGAGAGAGAGATCGGCAGTCGAGGGTGAATGGCCCCAAGTGACATAGAAACTATCATTGGCCTCTGGAGTGCTGGCCAGGTCTACAGACCAATCAGTCTGCAGTACTGATGACAAGATGTTCTCGAACTTGTCGTGAGCTTTGTCTCCGACTAGTCTGTCGCTGAAGATGCGGCGAGCCTCGTACGCCCACATGTGCAACAGGAACACTGCAGGAGAGCATTAACACAGGCTCTAGGAGTATAATACTGTCTGCATACATGGAGTGGAAGTGGAGTCATTCTGCAGAGGGTATCTGAGGAGTCCGAGGACCCAGTGGGTGAGGTCTCGTGGTGTGAAGACATAGTGGGAGTGGACATCAGCTGTGAAGGCCTTACGAACCTAAGAGAGGGGTAGAGATGACAATGGATGATACTACACTGCAATAGATGTCTCACCTGCTCATACACATGGACCATAGAGCTTGCTAGGGTGTGGACTCTGGAAGTGTTTCCCCAGACAGGGTGAGAGGAGAGAGAGCTCTGGAGCACTGGGTGGAGGTAGGTCCCATACACCGTCTGAAGCTGGTCGTGGTCTGGATACCTGTGGTGAATGGGAGAGCATGTGGTAGTAGTCAAGGTTGGCGGTGTTGACTTGGTACCCAATGCTGCAGATCCTGACGATGGAGGTGAACCGGGAGGAGAGAGGGTAGCGACCGAGGGTGGAGCCAGGGTTCATGGAACCCACAATCTGGACTCCCTCGAGCCCCACCCACTCCAGCTGTTGATCGTGGAACCCTCGATAGGTCAGTACCTGGAGGACCAGCCACAGGAGAGAAGAGAGAGAGAGTTAGGAGAGCCCTGTGAGCCGGTGTGTCTCTGTCAGACCTGCTGGAGGAAGGCAATGAGCTGACTGGTGCCCCACTTGTCCGGTTTGGGAAGGTTGAGGTCCTTCAGAAACAGAATGAGTCTCTCGCAGTCTCGCGGTCGATACACGCGACCGGTATTGGTCGATATCACCATACAGACCTTTGTATTCAGAGACACACAGTACACACATTGTCTATATAGTTGACTGAGACTTACCTGAGCCAGTTTCTGGAGGACGTGAGTGGCAGTGGTCTGAGCACTGCAGTGGATGACAGCCACCTGCACCGACCGCAGCTCTGAAAAACTATGACGTAGCAACATCCTTCAGAAAAGACAGAGAGAATAACGTCATAATATCCCCTCAAACAATAGGGTCTCACTCTTTCCCACAGCCTTCAGGCCCCACAATGATGAAGGAGTGTTTGTTGTTGGTATGGAGCCAGGACTGGAAGGAGTCCTGGTTCCGCTGCTGGTCTGGAGTCCGGATCACTGGGAGGGCCCCTGAGCTAGCGAGTTCAGACAATGTCAAATTGTCCGGTAACTGCACAAGAAGGAAAATGGCACAGTAAACCAAACACACACACAGGGCCACACGTGTTGTGTGTATGATACCTCCAGTTGGTAGGTGGCTAGCTTCCCAGTTTCATGGTCATAGTAGGTGTCCAACAGTCTTCTGGAGTCTGGAGGAATCTCATGCGTCATGTGAAACACCTGAGATGGGGGAGATAAAAAGTAGATCATGGTGGCAATATTTTGAGAGGTAGCCTTACTTCTTTGGCGAATTTTTCCCTGGTGGGTAGTGGAAGATTTCCGCCCAGACCCCTCACGAGAGCACAGGCAAACTCTGCCTTACTGGCCACACCCACAAGGTGTGAGAGTCCGTTCATGGCCACACCCACTACAGTTGTGTTGACGACAAGGTCGCCACTCCTAACGACCCAGTCCAGAGCCTGGTGGAAGTAGTCTTCGATCCACCCCTCCAGGGAGGAGAGGGAGGGAGAAGGAGGAAGGGACTGGAGCCAGCCGGTCACCAGAGCCTTGATATTAGTGTCCTCATCACTGGAGACATGAGGCAGAGAGAGTAGCATTAATGATGACTTGAAATACTTAGGTACAGTAGCTTTCCGCAAGATGTTATTGTGTTTGCCTTATTCCCAGGCCTTCATTTTTCCTGCTACATTGTACATGCAGTGATAAATGTAGCATTATGCATGCAGGACAGTGTGTGGCTTGTAGTGCTGGATGTGTCGACCTCATGAATATCATTCCCATGCGAGAGATGGTGGCAGGGGAGGCACAGGAGAGGTCGTGGGACTCAAACAGGAAATTGACGTTTGGTCCAAACTGGATCCTCTCCCCCGAAGGCATGGTGAGGAGACGATTGTCGTCCAGTACTGAATTGAGGGACTCTATCCACTCGGGGTCGATGTCTCCGTCACAGACGATCCAGGAATGGACCGAGGACGGCTCCTTCACCACTCCTCTGGCGGAGAATGTGAGGACACCGTCTGTCCATTCTCTCGTGTCAATGTCTATGTGACCTAGCAGCTGTGGGGCGAGGAAGAGGAGGATGAAGTAAATGATTTACGATGGCGTAGGCTTATCAGAGCCCCGTGAAGAAGATGCCTCTATACCTGTGAGCGTGGCATGGCCTTGGGGTTGAGGACTGTGTGTTTGACGGAGCTGCCCATGTGGACGAGAGCAGTCTTCAGCAGGTTCCAGACTGTGGTCTTCCCAGAGCCGGAGGGACCGACAATCACCACACCCATCCTCTGACGAAGCTGTGTGTAGAGCTCGAGTGCCTTGTGGATCTGGAGAGGAGAGAGAGAATAAGAGCTGCTGGGCTTGATTATGTGCTGCTAAAAATACGAATACATGGAGCTCAAGAATAACACACAAGTTTCATGAACAAAACTCAGTTACAATGTAGCAGTAGCAGTTTAAAATGTGGAGCCTGAGATAATTTCCAGAATTCAACATTTCCAGAGACGTGAGACACAAACGGAGCCAGTAGCATGCTCAGTATGATCTCCAGCAGAGTGACGTGTACTGCAGACCTGTCTGTCAATGACGACCAGGTTGTTGGCCCTGCTGGTCTCCCTCAGAGCTGCCTCCAGAGCCCCGTACTCCACATCTCGGAACTCCACTCCAGTGAACACGTCGCGGACCAGGGCGTCGAACCTCTGCCGGTCGGCAAACGTCAGCTTCGAGAGAGTGTTCAGCCTCAGTACTTGGACCACCACCCTCACCTCCACCTCCGATGACACTGTGGTGGGAGGAGGGGAGAAGATCCCATGCAAAATAGTCCTTCCTTTAGCCAATGTGGCCAGTAAAAAGTTGATCATAACACTCTACGTGAGATACTAGACACCCTGCCATGCCATCTACCACATCTATACTGCTGCCTAAAGTGGCTATACTTCTTGCAAAGTGTTTTGTAGGCAATGCAGTACAGCGATTGGATATTTGGCAAAAAATAAGGCAATCCCTACTCAAAATCTATCCAAATCAAATTTCCTACAGCAAACACAGCAAGATGTAACATTCTCCACAAAAGATGTTCAGGTAGAGAGAAGTTTCCACCTCAGACCTCTGTTCTGGTGCTGGTCTTTCTTCTCCGAGTCCAGTAGAGAGCCAGCTCCTCTGAGAACCGTCTTGAGGGCTCTGAGACCCCAGTCATAGTGCTGCTGGGGAGACAGCATCTCTCTGTGGGGAGTGATAGTGAAGAAATTGGGAGACATGAAACAGTCTCCAAAGCCAGATGCCATCAGTAGCTGTAGGCTCACCTGGAGAGGTTGAAGACGGCCACCAGTTTCCTGCCAATAGTCTTGGCCTCTTTGAACCCCTCTGAGAAGAGGATGACCTCCGCAATCTGGTCGTTGTCGGGACGGGACATGGCGACCGGTCGGAACAGCTGCTTCAGGTTGTCGGGGAGCTTCTGTCTCCCTCCGTAGCCCTTGCCAGCTGGGTTCATGGTGATGAATATCCCAGAGTTAGGGTTCAGGTCCACCTGGTCAGCGAGTGAGGTAACAAATTATCAGCTAGGATGGTGGCCAATACAGTGATGATGACAATTTCCATGATATATGATGCAACTTTGGTCTCTGAGACAAGGTTGCATGCAACTTTAAAAGTTACATGAAATATGAAATATAAAGCATTTCTGTTGCACGCAACATATTGCACGGGCCCACCAATGACATAGGGACACCTCTGAATAAAGGACACTTTCGATGTCCTCGTTCAGAGGTTGCACTGAGTACCTCTCTGCCCAGTAGAAGGCAGGAGGGGGAGCGTCCCCTGAGAGCTGCCTGGATCGTCTGGATCTGCATCGAGACAGCAGACAGCACCGCCTCCTCCAGTCTGTTGAACTCATCGAAGCAGCCCCAGGCACCGCACTTTATGATCCCAATGAAGATACGACCCATGCTCTTCACATCTATTCCCTGTATGTACATAAGTGAGGGTATTAAGTTGCATAGAACTGAAGAAGTCATTCCCAAAGCTATGTGTGGAAGAGAGAAGAATTCCCTGCTTGTCTTTCTTTCAGAAGTAAGAAGGGACTTCTCTCTCTCCACGCATTAGCTAAAACATTACCTTTACTGATGGCTTACCAGTAAACAACTCAGCTACATTCTCACCTCGTCACAGTTGAAGACGAGTACTTGTCTTCCAAACAGGCCTCCCAGAGCTTTCACTGACTCAGTCTTACCGGTTCCTGCTGGACCATATGGATTACCCCCCAGACCCATGTGCATGGCTGCGTTAGAGAAAGAGAGGAGGTGAACAAGTGAGAGCCTTGGCCGTGAGTGTTGAGCTGACCTTGTGTGAGAGTGAGGTAGCATTTGTCAGTGAGTGGAGTGTGGACCAGTTTGCCGGCATTTCCCTGGTACTCATACGTGTAGTCAAACTCTGCGTCTACCATACGCAGCACAGCATGGCCTGTGCAACAGGTACAACAACAGCAAAACAAAACGCAGTAATAATGTTTTTTATTCCCTAGCTAAGTACACATAAGTGGCAATTTCACTAGCATACTACGCAGGAGGAAAGAAAAGCCTAAGCATATCACATGCATGAAAAATTATAAATCTTGGACTGACCATCTTTGAGGTAGTTTCTGAGCTGTTTCTGCCAGAGCCAGTGGGTGTGGTCTCTGAGATCAGGCCCCGCCCCAATCAGCAGACGAGTGATGTCGATGTTGTGGATGGTGTCCAGTATCAGAGCTTTCAGTTTCAGCTCCAGCACATGTTGGGTTGAATCAGACTGTGTGGAGAGAATCCATCACATGTTGGGTTGAATCAGACTGTGTGGAGAGAATCCATCACAAGTAGTAGCTACCAACGGTGCAACCCAAGTGGTGTAATCTTTAACATCCTACTCCGTTATCAACAACCCTGTACATAATAGCTGTTCCATTCTCCAATAGGAGCACATTATGAAGCATCTGTCTCATGTACGTATGAATGTGTTGTCCTTATTTTCTAACTCAGACAGTTCTCCTAGAGGAAGGCTCACACTGATATCGGCGTTGGTGTAGATGTCCATTGGGTCTCCAGCTCAATTAGTAGCTCAGCCAGCCTCCCCCCACAGCAATCGCTGCATCACACCTCTACGTGAAGAGCACCTGCTCAGCCAGACACAGGATCTGCTGTGGGTAGCGCAGTCGATCTATTCCCCTCCTCCCTCACACCGTCCCCTCAGTCACACACTCCACCCAGCAGTTGTGTGAGTGTGGACTGCATCTGTTGCGCTAGATCACTCAGCAAACCTGTGAGGGAAGAGGTAGAGGAAATAAATGGGAGAAGATCTCTATCTTGCATTTTCTCGCTTATACCTATCTAGTCTTCTTTGTCTATCTAGTCTCTATTTAGACCTTTTCACCTCATTTCAATAAAAATGGCCAAGTCAACAATCAAAAAGGGTACCTCAACATCGGAGAGTGATGGTACAGTTGCAGAGAGAGGGACCTCTTCTCCCTCCAGAGACCTCATGGCCACAATCTCCGTCTCCTCCTCCCCAAACCTCACACTGTGGATCCCTGCAAACAGCCTTCTTCAGGTGTGCCTGCAGACCCCCATAGCACCACAGTTGTCAAAACTACTATACCCATACCACGGTATTAAAAGGGCAAATTTCTTCAAAATGGTGTTGGATAGTGAGGAGTATACCTGGATGACTCGAGGTTTGGTGCCCTGACCCAGTATCTCCAGTAGATCGTCGCTCTCCCAGAAATACGAATCTCGGAAACCTTAAGACAGCTCTCCGCTTTCTCCTGTGAGACCGTACAGACACGAGGGTGGTGTGGTTAGTAGAAGAGTTACATAAGTTGTATGTACCCACTCGAGGACATCATGAGAGCCTTCTGGCAACGGCTCAGTTGTCCTTTAGCAGACCCTGTACACCAGTGTCTGCTGAGACCGGTCTACTGCACCAGAGGACAGGACTCGACTGTCCTTCGTCTATATCACCCATTATTAGCCTGGTGTCAAACAGAACAAAGTGAAATCGACGCAAGATATAAAGTGACAGAAGCCGAAGCAGAGGAGAGAAGCATGAGAAAAAAGAAGAGAGAGTAAAAGACAATTAGCAACAAAAGAAAAGATGATGACACTGATGCGAATGTGTCAACCTGTAGAGAGAAAGTGACGGGTCACTGCAGTCTGCGTCACTCTCTGACAACCTGGCCGCTCCCTGGGTAGAGCTCCGTGTCCAAAGATTGCTCGAGGTTATTGGGTGAGACCCATCTTCTCGGGATGTCTGGTTGAGGTGCGAGTGAGATGGCTTTTCGCATCCACCGCTCTGCCAGCCTCCCTCCCACAGAGCGGCCTTGTCAGCAAACCCAGAAGAAGGAGGGAGAGTCCTTGAGTGACTGCGGAGCATCACTGGTGGTCTCCACCTGTGGGCATCATATGGGACAGTATATCTAATAGTCGTAGTTTTTTATGTGAAGCAGGACTGACTATAACACCACACAGCTTTACTTTGACTTCAAGAGTACACACGCAAAGTTTAATATATCGATCTCATCTTCATGTTTGAAGTGTTGTTCTTGAAGCTGTCAGTAGTATGGCTTGCGTTACCTGGTTCACATGCCTATTCCTTCCAATCATCTGATGACGTCTCATTCCTTGGAGCCTGAGCATCTGTGTATGGAGTCAGGGAGAAGTGCAGCGTGCTCCCCAGATCATCCAGCTCCTCAGAGCCTCTCGAATCGACACCTCTCCCTGGGCTCGACATGCGCGGACAGAGAGAGAATCATTTCCTCTCATATGCTAAGGTTTGTTAATCCTTCCTGTATAGCTCCTCCTCACGTGTTGTCGCGGCATTGCCACAATTCATCCGGGTATCCCCTCCGCTCCTCGTGAGAGAACGTCGCACGAACGATAGTTCTCCAGTGTCGTTCCATCTCGGAATCCCAACACTGAGGACATCTCGTGCAGTGCTCCTGAGAGAGAACCTCGCCCTTCGCGTACTTTCAACAGAGCAGCTATGCCTGTTTGTGTGCAGGGGAGTGGGTGTCAGGGGAGCAGAGGTATGGTCCAGTGATTCGGGAACCTGGTATTTGTCGACAGAGTCCTCGCTGGAGGCGTCGGCAGGGACAGTCGTCATCATTGCCCCTGCCCTCAGCTTCTCTCCCAGGTCATCAGCGTCACCATCTTCAAACTGGTACGACCGACCCCTGACAATGACGATGAGAGTGTTCACAGTACTCGAGAGCTAGGCAAAGTATGTGCAGTTCTACCTTGCAGATGTGCACAGCCTACATTATACAAGAGTGTAGGTAGTTTGTTTCGCAGCTTTTCTTCCTTGGAACAAGTGTTTTCTATGTGTGTCACTGATTGCTTTCATACCTCCCCAATTATTCCGGCATTTTATACACTACCAGCATGTGAGATACGTAAGACCATGTGCTTTCGAGAAACACCACTGATAATTGTTGTGGTGTGTGAATGTACAACTGTAACATAAAGTCGCGACATAGTGTCTAGCTAAATGTTCCTGTTATCGCTGGATGGTTGGCAAGTACCAGGGACTTGTGTAGGTCTCCTTCAGAGCAGACCACATGAGGGACAGCATCACACTGACTTTATCAACCTGCTCAATGAAAAAACACAAGGGCACGGTGCAAGTTTTGAATCGTTCGGTGATAAAATTCTTCATGTGGTAAAATATACAAGTCTCAGAGGAGCAAAACCAAGAGAGAAATGCGAGAAGTGAACGGAATGTGGGTCGACAGAGGAGGCAGTGGAGGGCTGATGATAATGACTGTCAGACTGGTTCGGGGGTGGTGGTAGGTATACGGACTGTACTCTTGGGCTATGGGGAAGAGCCCTGTTGCTCACCTCGCTCTTTCTTCGGGTGAGGAAGCGACGGGGGCTGTCATGTTGGGCCAGGACACTCCTGGCGTATGTGTCACTCCCTTGCAGCATGTTTGTTCATTTTTCATCGTCAGTTGAGGTCATTGGAGAGCTTGAGGGTGGCGAGTGATCATTGCGTTTCATGTTGCTCGCGGCCGCTGGTACTGTCCTGGCAGGACTCAGCAAGCTCGAGGAGTCAGAAGCCATTGCGGTATTTTCTAACTCCATGACGGCTGTTGTCTATAGGTAGAAGGGCGCTCCTGCTCCCACACTACGCTCTTTGGTCTATTGTCAGCCGGCACTTGGGCGTGATGATTGACGGGGGACGCTGCCCCTGAAGTGGGGGAAACTGGAGACTACAAGCGCGGTGCCCCTCCCTCTCGAGCCGGCCTTTTTGGCGTTGGTATGCGAGCTTTGTCACCTCACTTTTTTGCCATCGTCCTATGACATGGTCGGTTTAAGTTTACGCAGCCTGATGATCAGGTAGTGATACATTATTGAGCAGTGTAGTCACTGGCTTGTTTCTACGAGCAGCGTATGATGGCTGCAGTGACTTGAAGAGGAGCCGAGTTGATGCACTTACTAGGGGATTGCACTATACGCCATCCCCGACCATATCCAGAATCACAGTCCAGTCTAAACCCGCCCCCTCTAGCTGTACGCCCGATTGAATTTGAACAACTTACGTAACAGTCCTGCTTATATTTGTTTTGATTTGGCGACCTCTGACCATTATTTCGAGTACTTATCAAATAGTTGTATCTGATCCGGACTGATTATAAAGGCCAACTTACATACTTTTCGCTGCCTTCTATGAAGACCTCAATTTAATGACGATGTCAGCGCCATGCCTGTGGAAAGGGAGAGACGAGAATGAGGCAGAGAAGAACTTTGATAGGCGGGTATGGGCCGGGCAGACTCCTATAGGACGACGGACTTTATAGATAGACAACGGAGCGGACGTAAAGAGATTGCTACTCCAATCCATTACTCATCTACACAGGTCCTCGAATACAGGTCAACCCCCGATTGCACTGGCATTTCCAGTCAATTTTTTTTGGCCATGCGCATTCGTGAACTCGTTTCGTCAACGGATTATCTCTGTTCGAGCGGATCTGTACACGGCTGGCCCTTCCCCGACCGTGGCCCCTACTGCAACATAGCAAACACCGATCACAGTCGCGCAGATTCCATGGACGGCCGTTCGCCTCACTGGCTCGGTATGAGTCGGGCAAACACTTGTGCCGTCTATGTGAATTTTGTGTATTCCACGTACTGTTCTACGTTTGTACCCCAGCAGAAAAGAGGAGTCCCGGTCTCCCCCAGCGGATACTCGCGATTTACTTTGCCATTGTATGCTATCGCCCCTTGCTCTTTCTCTTGTTGTTCCTCCATTCCCTCGTTTCTCTTCATGGGTGCATTATTTCTGTCTGGCTCTTTCCCCGTGTCATGTTGCTTGCTTACCCTTTTAATCCATATTGTTTTAGTTCGCCTAATCATCCTGTTGACTTTCCTACACTTTCCCAACCCCCACCCATTACATTAATGACCACGGACACGCTTAAAACCACCCGAGCACAGCTATTGCCAGTGAACGCACCAATTAATCGTTGTCTTCTATGGATTCGGCCTTCCACGATTGACTCTCGCGTGCCACTTTTATCTATGCATGCCACAGATCTTCCGAAACCCATTGTGCATACCAAACATTTCCGGCAAGTGGCACTGCGAAGATTCTACCTTGTGCATGATGTAGTTGCCTTATGGGTTAATACAATCTCCCCCGTATTTTAGCCATCATGGACCCCGCCCTTCGCTTATCATTTGTGCTCGAGACACCGATTTCTTTCTCCCGTCTGCAATGCACACTGTCCGTAATCCCTATTTGAGTTTACACCCCCTTTCTGCCTGTCTCCTGGTCGCCCCTTCCTCGTGATTGTAGGTATCTTTGTGACACCCGCTTAACACTACATACGGCTTGAAGCGACCAGCCTCTCTCTCTCGACTGCTATGCCCTCCGAC